TAATCTTTACCCTATATACTGAAAAAATATTCAAATAATTTTTCTTTTCTCTAGCTGTTAATTTTTAGGAATTAAATCAATTTATATGGGATACATTTATGTCTATCATGTTCTAGAATCTATATATATTTTAGAAGATAAATATCTAAACAATTAAAACAGTAAATTGGTAAATTGATATTTATTTTTCATTGTTGTTCATTGTTGCATAATCATTAATGGCATAATTTTTTATATGCTTTATACTATACCTTCTAATATAGCATAGCAAACATTTAATATAACAAAGCATACCAGCATAGATATAAAAAATAATAACAAAGCATAGCAAAATTTTAATAATCTAGTAATTCTAATACGAGTATATAGACTTCTGACCCCCTATGATATGCAAAGTTTTCAACCGTGAAAATTTATTTTGTTTGGAATTTACGATTTTTACACAACAGCTGTAAAAACTATTCTTAACATTATTTGTAAATTTCACAATATTATTTAAAATCAAAATTTTAGATGAAGCAATTTTTGAATTAACACGATGTTCTATATTATTTATGTACGTACATTATTTTGTCATTTGTGATATTTGAAATATTTCATTACATTTTGTGATAGAAGAGATTTTCCGTTACTATTTTGATTTTATAAAAATTTGATAGAAATTATAGTTTCCCAAAGATCTAAGTATGAACTCATAAAGGAATAAGTCAAAAATTAAGATTTTGTCAAATTTTAGAGATGATAATTTATGGGAAGAAAGGAGAATAAATAAAAATTCTCTTTAAAATTTATTTATTTTTCAATTTATATAAGCTGGTGAAATTTTAGCTTATAATTTTAATCTTAGACTCTAAGAGAAAAACCACTTAAAACTTTATAAAAAAACGAAAAAAATTTTTAAGATAACGATTAATTTCAGCGGCCACGTTGTTTTTTTAATGATGGCCTATGCTATTTCACAGTGGAATTAATATTTTTCTGCTCTAACAGAATTTAAAAAAATGTTTGTTGCTTTCGATACAAGAAATTCTCAAAAGATTTCATTTAGAAATTTGAGAGGTTATAACATTTTTAAAACTAATCTAGTAAGAAAATTTTCTTCTGCAAAAATAGGTTCTTTTGCAAGACCCATATTCGCATATGATAGAAATTTTGTAAAAAGACGCATAGAGTGCAACTAATAAGCACATTTCTCAGATTTATTCATTTATTTTTCTGAAATTAATTTATTTTACGGACATTATTTATTTTATGTTTTATAAATTTTAATGTAAATTTAATTTATTTTAAAACAATATAAAAGAAAAAAATTATTTTTATTATTCTTTTTTATTTTTTTTATTTTTTTATTTAAAATTAAAAGATTTTATTATTATGCACATAACAAAAATTTTATTTTTTTTTTTTCATTTTTATTACCAAAACTATTTTCATTATTATACCAAAAAACTGAAATTTGCTACGTAACATTTCCATCACTTGGTAGCTTATACAACAAATTTAAAATCGTAATTTAGTTTGGTTCTTCAATAAATGTTTTCTTAAACACCAGTTTCCTGTTTCTATCCTAAATTGCATAATGCTAACTTTTGATTTTAAAAGTTGAAGAATAATGGTTTTCAATGTGAAATCCTCGTTTTTTGAGAGATTAGTGTTAAAAATTAAAAAAATATTATTATTATCATATGAGGTAAATTTCTGCTTTTGCATTTTTTAAAGAGTAACTACTTAATTAATTAATTTTATTAATATCCAAATTTTAAACTGCATGAGGAAATCCTCCATTTAGTTTCTAATTTTTATTTCGATCAGTAAAACTATATTAACAAGGTTTTTTTTTTTAAATTAAATTAGCAATAAAACTAGCATTAACAAGTAGCAAAATTTAAAAACCTCTATCTTAATATTTTTATATTATTTATATTTAATTCTACATATATAATATAAAAAAAAAATCGGAAATACATTAATTATAATGTCACGAGCATAATTTAATAATCAAATGACACAATAGTAAAATGACAGTATCGTTTGATATTATCGTACATTTTTCTTTTTTCTCAATTTTTCTTTTTTGACACTTTAACTTTATAAATTGACATTTTATCATTAGTTGTGACATATCGAATTTCAAGTCTTTATATAAATATTTTTATTACTTTTTAATTTATGAAAATTTTTAAAATTTTTGGCTTTTATAGTTTCAAAATTATTTCCTTTATCGATTAAATTTCATTGAAACATTGGAAATTTATGAAAACAGATTTGACAAAAAAAAAATAAGCAAAAGCAAATCTGCAAAATTAAATTGCCATTAAAAATATTAAAATCATCAATACTAATAGATCGATTAGGTCACAAATTTTATAATTATTACAATTCAATAAAAAAAAATGTTTTTTTTTTTTTATTTAAAATTCATTATAGTTGTTATTAATTTTTTTTTATGATTATATTTTATTTTTGATTTCAAATTTTATGCATAGACCAAAAAATTTTTCTTAATATTTTTATGACTTTATGGACATATCACGGTTAAAATAATAATTAAATAATTATAATAACAATAAAATTGAGAAAAAAAAAACTTATTGGTAGCATTATAATTGAATAATTCAATAAACATTAATTGGCCATTCATTGTTTAACAAAATACCAAATTAGATTGTCTTCTCTTCTAACACAATAATGTTGATTATAAAAATCTTTGGTATGAGTGGTTATATATGATGTATATATTATATTTGTATATGTTTTCATTTAAAAATTATTATACAATATTCAAACTGTAAAATTCTGAAAAATTAAAGCATAAATAGAAAATTAAAATATTTAAAATATTAAAAATGTGGATAGCATTAATGTTATCACAATATTACTTTATTATCGTATTTATCACCGGTAGACGATGAAAACGATAGATGTAAAAAAAAAACCAAAAAACATATTTTACTTGAATTTACTGTCAAGTGTTAAATTTTTTTTCAAAATTTATAAAATAAATAAACAATTTCAATTAAAATTCCTAATACAAAGAATAATTTCTAAAATAGTAATTAAAAAAATAGCAGGATAAAAAAAAAAAAATTATATGCACATAAAATTTTATTTTAACAATCAAGAAACCACAAATGCATCAAAAGAAGTAATAAATTCAAAGAAAAATAATTAGAGATTCTTCATATCATTTGAGGTTATAAAAACATATGTAAGTATGTATGTACATACATATATATACATGTATATAAGGTTGCTTTTTTAATCCTATTTGCTTCCAGTTTTGTAAAAAAAATTTAGATTATCTAAATGCATTTCAAATCTAAATAAAATTTTTTGATATATTTTCAAAATACAATATAGAAGACAGAAAAAAAAACTCTTGATATTCGATAAAACGGTACGATAATAAGCGATAACTAAATTTAATAATGTGAAAACAATAATTTTTCGGCAAAATATCATGAACCGTCATCATCGACAGACACAATTATTAACACAATTTCTAAATATCTCACCCATTTAACAAATAGCCCTTAAATTAATTATTAAAACCAAACTTATGATTTTTTTTTATTAAAGTTCTTACGTTTATAAAACCTACCATTTATAAATATGATTCAAGTTTACGATAAAAATATTCTGATGTTAGTTGAAAATTTTAAATATTCTCTCGCTTTGTATTTTCGAATTGTTTTACTTAATATAAATAGATTTTTGCATAAAGAAAAATTACTTTTATTTTCAATTAATTTTTTCGTATAAATATTACGTAAAAATTCTTTTTACTTTTTAAGATTTTTTTTATAAAGTATTTCTAAAATTAAAAATTATTAGCTCCCTGCAATATGCAATAATAAACCTAGGAATAAGATAAGAGATAAAAATGCAATTTAATTTTAAATAATTTATGCATGTATGTACATTGGTATTTTAATTTTTATGTACAAAAACCCTGATGTTATTTGATTTTTTCAATTTTTTAAAAATACGTACGCGCAAACATATGTATATTACAAAAATATATTAAAGAATCTAATATTTATATTGTATCTGTTGTGTATTAAACAATTTAAATATGTATGTAGATAAATTTACACTGTAAGCATTTTCATTAGTCAGAAACAAAAAGACAAAATTTGCATAATTTTTAAATTTTTATTGATTTTCTTAATTTTTTTTCTCACTGAATTTTTTGTAATTTTTAATATTAATATTTTTTAATTAATTAATTTACGGTATATTTACGGCACCTTGGCTAAAAATACAATTTTTTGAAAATAATACTAAAGCCAATATAAACATAAGTATATGTATCTATCATGTTACTCAGCTCTTACTCTCTGACCAAGAATTATTTCCAAATTTATATGAAAATCGAAGGAGGCACTGGAACTTATTTGGGTATATATTAGCTAATGTTGTTAATTCTGCTGAATCTAAATGTTATTTGAATATTAATCAATTTTCGAATTCGTTATTCAAATTTTAAATGGATTAAAATGGATTAAAAAAAACATTAATTGGAAATTTTAATACATCCGACCTTTCCCCACATTAACATGTAAACCTTAAGCATTGTTTTTGTAAATTTTGTTACTTCGGAACGCTTGGAAAAATAATTTCAGTGTGGTGGCCTGAAAGGTGTATGACATTAAGTCAATCAAACTGCCAGAATCTATCTGCAAGAATTTTTAAGTTACATTATAACGGTTTGTATACACTTCTGCAACTATCATAATGCACTTAGTACGCTGAACCGCTTAATTTAGTGACTTAGAGATCATACTTACTTTTAGTTACATTGTAAATGGCATTACTTTTTACTCCTCTAACCTTAGTGCACGGATTTTTTTGTGCTCAGTATAAAGCTGATTTATATTTAGATCAAATAAAGACAGGTGTTTTACCCGATCAGCATTTTTTTCATATTAGTTATTAATTTTTATTATTAACTGCAATGATATAATATAATATTATACATATAATGAATAATAAAAACATTTTAGTTCTATCTCCATTTATTCAAATATCTACATTAAATGTTTGTACAGTTTAATGTTCACTTTCTTCGATTTTAAGTTCAAATTTTTATTATATTACATAATTACATAATTAATTTTTGCAGATAAATGTTTAATAGTTTGAATTGGATATTCTGTTTAATTTTTATAATAATTGTATTGAAAAATTTTTTATATTCATATTTCGAAAATTTGGCATATGTATATGAAAATTATCAACAAATTTTACTAGAATAATTTAAAATGTTACTTAGAAATCCAAAAATATATGCGAGAACGAGAAAAACAAATGAAATTAACTAAACTCAAAATGGTTTCTAAAAATAAACTAAAAGAAAAAAATTTCAAATAATTTGTTATTAATATCTATAATTAATTTAGTCTCTATTTAATTTGTAATCGCAATCCTAAGGTACAGAAGAAAAAACATTACTATAAATTTCTATTTTCAAATTTACGCACATTTAATATCATTTTTAAAATGTTATTTAATCCTTCAAGTAAAACAATATTTTCATCTTAATTTCTAAAGTTATAAGAATATGAATTTAATAGTTATAATAATATAAAAATTATATTAAAAATTTTGAATTCACATTTTTATATTTTCCGAAATTCTTATTTCTGAATATCATCTGAAATTTCCGGATAATTAACTTCGTCCTGTTCTTATAAATAAAGTGCTTAATTATAATATAAAAAATAAAATGTTCAAACTACACATAATAATATTTCTAATTAAGAATTCAATATTTAGAAAAAAAAAAATTAAGTAAAACATAAAATTTTTTAAATTATATTCATTTCATAAAGCACTAGAAATTTCAATAAAATATTCTCGCAATGAAAATTAAGAAAAAATGTAATTGTAGTACTAATGATTTCCTTAACTGTTTCATAAAGCACTGAATGGTTAATCAAAAATCTTATTTTTCAATATCTGAAAGTACAATATAATCAGAATACTTAGAAAATCAGTGATCAGAAGCGACAATTTATCTGTAATTTCATCAAATATTATTTTAATCCAAAAGTAATCAGACGTTGATGTGACGCATATTTCAGATACTGTTGTAAAATATGCTTAGATAAACACAATTAAGAACATTATACAATATGCATTACATCAGTGCCAGACTATTTTCTGATCGACGACTACATATAAAAACATATTCCATTTTTCTTTTGTCTTTTATGGGAATAGAAAAATATTGAATTTATAATAATGTGTAAACAAACAAAAATACTCAAAATAATACGATTAACTTAATTAAGATTTTGGTTGTCACTAGCGCCACCACTGTTATGATTGGAGTTTTTGTTATGATTTTTTATTCGATAATTTCTTCTTGCTGCTGAAGTATTATATGGATGTGGATGTACACTAAAAATAAAAAAACATAAAAATAGTCTTTCATAAATACATTTATCCAAGAATAATACAAAAAAAAATATTAAAGTATAATTTAATTTTTAAACACAAGAATAAAAATACAAGTAGAAATGAGAAATTGAAAACAAGAGTATTTAATTAAAAAACCTTATTGAAAGTATTTTAATTAAGATCAAAAGTAATGCGATGATATCGAAATTATTGAAAACAAAATCCTAAATTAGAAGCATGTTATTACATTTGCTAATAATGTCTGTCTACGTAAATTTATTTTACTTTAAAGTAATTTGCAATATAATCTGAAAGTAAGAGAAATCAATGTCAGGAATCTAAAATTAATGAAGCTGCTTATATATTTAATATGTTAAATAACGCAACGTCAATGCAGCACAAAATTATGGATTTCAACAAAAAGTGAAAAGGGTTATATGAAAAAAAAAATTTTTTTTTTATGTACATTGTTCAAAATTTTCGGATGCTTAAAATATAAAATGAATTTTTCAGGAATGCTTGTTTGAGAATTACCAATACATTCATTTTGTTTTTATTTTATAAAGACTAAGAAGTCATCGTTTCAAATTAAATTTCAATTTCTTAAAATTTAATCAAAAATTAGCGAAATTTTCATAATAATTGAAAAAATATTTCGCTAAGCGTGAAGACTGCAAATATTTCGCTCAACAGAACTCAATTCAGGAGAATTAAAGTTTTTTGTAAAAGTACGGAGTCGGCATAAAATTAATAAAATTAAGCGCAATTCATAAAATTCACTAATTATATAGAATTAATTAGGGTCATATTAATTAACTAACCTAAAAAATAAGTAATAATAGAATAAAATAACGAAAACCCTTATTTCTTGGCTACTTCAAATTATTATCTTATTAAAGAAAGTGTTAATCGTGTCCTTTTATTTTGATTTTTTTATTTTTAAATTTGCATATCCCCTCACTCTTGAATGTTGAAATACTATCTAATTAAACAGACAAGTATTCTTAATCAGTAACCCTCTAAGTAGAAACTTAAAATACAGTTGAAACCACATTGACCAGACTGATGACCACTTCAAATTTTAACAACAGTGTGTCTCTTCAAATACATACCTACAATAATAATAGAAAGGAATATAGTTTGCAAATATTTTAAGCATTCAACTAATGCAATTCAATGAAAAAAAAATATTAAAAAAAAATATTAAAAAAAAACATTTTACGTTAAAAATTTCAAATAAAATTTAAATCTCTTTCTAATGAAAATTGGAATAACGGAGTTGGGTTATGGAGTTCATCATATTAATGCAATCATGCTTTTGGAAATGTAAAAACTGGAATATAATATTACTTATTTTTAAAATATATGTTTAAAGTAGGTTTTTTTTATTTATTATTTTAAATCTATACAAAACTTGAAAATTGAATCAATTTTTTTTTTTTATAATTATATATTTTAAAATAAATGTTTTAAAAATTAACCACGTGCAATATCTCTACCAAATCGTCCAAACATATCATATTTGAAAATAATTTTTAATTATATTTTATTTAATTTTTCATATATTTAAATAAAATCCAAAAAAAGTTTTTTATATCCTGGCTTCCACTCCCGCCAGCTCATAAAATTTTCACAAAAATTAATTTTAAAATTCTCATGAATAAAATTAAAGGAACTTTTGTTGTGGACACAGTCCGAAATCGAAGTTGATTCAGATGCTGATACTATAAAAAATTAAACTGATTAAATTACAAATTTGTTTAATATTTATTTGGGGGGATTATAAATCTTCAATAAAAATTTAGGTATTTTGCACGCTATATTATTTTTTGAGTTCAATTTATATTCTACATTTAAGAATTTAGGCATTTACGATTTAAAGTACTTTCCCAACAATCTCACAAACGACATTCCCTGTTAAAAGATTAGTATTCAAATCTAAGTTTTGATCATTTTCAAATTTTTTTCATTTTCAATATTTTAATATAAATATATTACATGAAAACATTCTTTACAACATCAAATCCAAAATATATAAAACTGATTTGAAAGTGACTTTATATGGTGTCTGAAAATTTGAGATCCAAAATAAGGCTATAAGTAAGCTTTCTTCTAAAGTAAAAACATTTTTTGAATATACAGAAAGTTTTGTGACGAATCAAGCATACATGGTATATATAAGTTACGAATATTACAATTTCTATATTTCTTGAACAGATTATATATATATATATGTTTGAATTAAAATTTATTTTCGGTAGACCATTGCTTCATATAAACAGTCACTTGGTAGTTATTTCTAAAAACAATTTACAATCGAAATAGTCAACGAAAATTTATAAGAATAAAGACTTATTATCATAATTTTTGATATACTTTTGGACATATATAATTATGTATGTATATATTTTTTGATATACTCGTATTATATGAAATTAAGAAAATTTTATTCATCATCCCAAATTTTTTACATTGAACACAAATTAATTGTGTTCGAATTGCAGTGTATTATAAAATATATATTAAAATTAAATCTTAACTTTAATAATAGTAAACTTTTAAATTTCATTCTAAAGAATTGTAGGATAGCAGTTTTGCAAGAAAATGCAAAAACTGCGAAAAAGTTAAAATTTTAAATAAGTTTAGCTTAATAATGTTTTTAGAAAGATTTTTCAAGTATATTGTGCGATCTGTTAGTAAAACACTAGAGGCACTCAATATAATGATAATAAAATGAAGTTGCAAGTATATTAGATCAAAAGAAGTATGGATAAATTCATTACATAATAAGCATGGGAAAAAGCATTTTTTTTTTTGCAATCGTTATTATGATTTATGAAATATGGTAATAAAAAGGAAATTATGATAGTGAAACAATTCCAAAAATTATTTCAAATAAAAAGGAAAAATATTGTCAAAGTTTTTTTTAGGCTGGTTTAGTTTATGCTTAATTATGACTAGTTTATCTTACGGTATAAAAGAGAAATCTGCAAAAATTTTTTATGTCACTATTATCGAAAAAAATCGATCGAAAAATGAAAATATTTTTTTTCTATTTCTTTTTAGAATTTAAGAAGAAATAGGACGATAAAATCTGGGATTATACAAACGCCAATCTCTGTAAAAATAAGAATGTATCATAATATACATATTACATATATATATATACATATATAAAATACGCTGTTATAAATTTATATTTACATGCATACTCTAATATACTTTATAATTCGAAGTGCTATCTTGTTAAATGTAAAGGTAAATATGCAACTGAAAATCGCGAAGAATTTACGATTATTAAATAAAGTTATAATTATAATTTAAAAATTTGCTTCAAAATAACAATTAAATTTCTTGAAGTAAAAATTTTTATAAATTGAAATTCGATTAAGAACTTAATTTAAAGGTCCCTAAAAATATTAACATGAGCCAAAATTCATAAAAAAAATTAATTTGAAAAATGTAGAAATTCAAGTAGATTTATATTTAATAATATTTATGCAAAAATTATGCAAAAAAAAGAAGCTCGACACTAAAACAATTTGCAGGAGATATTTTTATAAGAAGTAAAGGAAAAATATGAAACACGTTTTTATAAAAATTTGTTAGAAAAAATTAAACTACAAATTACAAATATTGTCCAGCACACTTTTTCACTGAATAGGAGAATCACGACAAATTTTACTATAAAACAAATTTTAAAAATTCACATGATGTCATAAAATGAATAAATTATCTCAAGGTATTGTGTTTTTGTAACAGAAAGTTTTTTTTTTTTGAATACTCAACCTAATTAACTTTCTTTTGAATTTGTACATTATACATGTTTTTCGATAGTGGTACCGAAAAACACGTGGAAATGTTATTTTACAATAAGTACAGTATTGGAATAGTTTTTTGGAATTCTATTCTCCAGTTCATTTAATATTTTTCAATTTTGTCCATTATATTTTCTGTAAGTGCATATACAATAAAAGACAACATGAATTTTGGCGTATACTTGGTAAAAAAATTAAGTTTTTTTATAAGCGATGGGAAAATATATTTTACTATCCAAACATTAACAATTTTTTTTGTTGAAGCCCTAACGGTATTATTACTAAGTACAACTAACGAAAATGAAATTTATAATTACATAGGTATTTTTAAATAAAATTATTAAAATTTAAATAAATAATTCCTATGTATATCGGATTTATACGTTCCATTTTATTTTATAGGCACACAAAATTTATTTTACTCTTTATTTTTATGTAATATATATAAATATATATTAATTTTTATATAATATAGCAAATCATAAAAAAATCTGTTAACTATAAAATAAAGTTTACATAAGCTGTTCTTCGTACTATTTTAATGTTGTTTAACGATTATAATAATTGCTATTTTGATATTGAAATACAAGAAGACCGAAATATTTCATTATAGAACGAATGTTCATTTTTATGATGATTATATTCGATTCCTGCTTTGTATTTTAGCATCATTATGAATTATTTCTTCTGTTTTTGCAGAAAAACCAACAAATCATATTTAATTGAAGAAAGGAACAAAGTTGTTGTATTTACTTATGTTTATGATTATTTGTGAAATTCAATTTAATTGTTTTTAAAAAAGTTATAATCAATTATATAATATTATATTACATTGTATAACTTGTTAAATTTGTAACAAACCTTGCTGAAGATGGCGTATTCGAAGCTAATGGCGATGAGCTTGGGGTACGCAATGGTCTACGAGAACTGACCTTTGATACATTTCTCGAGGATAATAATTGACGTCTTTGCGCAGAACTTGACAAAGGAGATGAAAATGACGATGTCGTAGACTTGTTATCCGAAGTTATCTTACTATTGATTGCAGTAGTCGTAGAATTGGTAGCATTGATAGAAGTATCACTAGTATCCGAAGAAGTACTTGTATTTTTTGCAGCGGAGCTAAGTTTTAAATAATTTTTTCTTATTTAAAAAATTCATATTGAGTTTTTAAGTATTTTATTATCTTAGAATTAAAATTGTAGTTTTCTATAGTTAGTTTGCAAAATTTCGTAATTTTAAAGAAATAACGATACAAAAAAAATAAATAAAAAAAACCCGAGATAGTTTATACAAAGAAATAAACCTAGATACTATTCAATAAACCTTAAACAGATGATTGTAAAGTACTAAGAAAGAATACCGAAAAAATTATTTGAATCCAAGAAATTGTATTAACTTAACCTTTTAAATCACTTAAAAATCAAAAAAGAATAAATCTTTTAGCTAAGATAATCCATACAATACTCTAAGGAAAAATTAAAGTTATTTTTCGTTTAATACTTGATAAAAAAATAAGCTTTCTAAAAGAAACAATTTTTTTTGGCACTTTTTATTGGATCGAAAATAATATTTATTTACTTTATAAAGAAAAGTGCAATTAAGTACTTACAAAATAATCTTAACGAATTGAAATTAGAGAAAAAGAAACCCAACCAACTGCTCCTCAATTTAATTCGGTATCCTATTTTTAAAAATTCCATAATACCCTTTTGAGTTAATCTTTTGTTTAATGTCTTTCAATTTTAGAAAAATTAAATTAGTTTTAGTAAAACTTTCCATGAAGTTAGCATATTTTCAGTTTATTTAATTTTTGATACTTTTTTCTTGGATTCAAAAATCTTGATTCCTTAGAACCAGGCAAAAATTGAATTTTATAATAGAAATGCTTTTATAAATACATAAATATATTGAACGATTATAATATTTATTGAGACAAGAGTGACACTTAAGAAATCAAAATGTATTAAAGGAATAAAATCTTCTTAAGCACTTTGTGTAATTTAACGTTGCAAGCAAAAATTCTAAAACATTTAATGAAAAAAATTTATGAAATTTTACTATTTTAAGATATTGATAAAACGTTCAATGAATAAACATAGCTATAAATTAAAATGATTGAATAACTTCAAATTAAATTTAAAAAAATTTACTTGCATTACCTCTTCAATATATTTGTTAAAAATTATATCTATTATATCTGCAAATAAAAAGTTTTTGAAAAAAAAAGATTCTGTTTTTAAGTTAATAATTATACAATCATCTAAATACACAAATGTATGATTGAACATTTTAGAGTTTAGGTGTTATAGGACGAAACAATTTTGTAACCGGTTGAATTTTGCTTTCATTTTAAAACTTAATTTACATTGTCAAAATGCTAAATGACCTTTTAAAGTTGCTTGTAACAGAAATATAACTATGTATGTATTTAAAAATTAAGTTTGCATTAATTTATTGTATTATTTAGTAAATTATTATAAGTATATTATCATTTCCCTTAAACATTGTGCATGCATATATAAAAGAAATATGTTTATTGAAGAAAAACACATGCTATATAATAATTAGATATAGCCTATAAAAATCTTATCATATTACTCAACTTTCAGATTTTGAGGAGGTTCCTAATATTTCATTTCAAAATTTCATAAAATTTGTTCATGAATTATTTCAGATTTAAAAAAATAAACTTTAAAAGATCATTAAATATTTTAACGTTTGAATGATATTTTGGTCTTGCATAATTTTATCACATATAATATCTTACCTTTGAGATGATGTTGGAGGAGCTGGCAACGCAAGTAATTGTCTTTGATGATTTGATGGACCATAATGTCTATGCACATCAGGTCCTGCAGTTATTTCAATAGATCTATTTCCACGGGCCTTGTTAGTAAATTCTCTATCAAAAGTTTCAGCCTCTTCTTCATCTAAGTTAATGAATTCTTGTCGTTCTTCTTGTTCACCGGATCTGACATTTTGCTCCCTTTCAATTATATGGGCTCTTTCACCTATATGATGTCCAATAGCCATTTTTTTCAATCCCGTGCGCGAGTCTTGTACTGTTTTTCTTGTTTCCCGAACTCCTCCTGGCCCAGTTTTTGATGTACTTGTTGCTTGATAAACTTGGGGACGCCCATCTGGCCCGGAAGTCATTTGAATGACACTACTAGAACAATATGACGCGCCATTATTCTCAGGAATGTCTACCAAAATTTCCAAAATGAATATAAGTTATTATTAATCATACCAATAAATTTAACCAACCTCCACTAAGTAATCTATTCAAATTTGGTATTCCTGGAAATCCAAATAACCCACCCATAGGAGCCCTCATTGTGTTAGATCCAAAATTATCAAAAGGCGTCAGCATATTAAAAGGATCTGGCATTAATGAACCCATCAAACTGTTCATTTGTCGCATATGTTGACTATGAATAAAAAAAGTAAATTAATTAAACCTGTACAAAAACAAAACATAATTCTTAAATAATCGATTTTTCAATGTGATCGAAACTTCTGGTAATCAGGAATCTTAATTGGTTATATGTACACCATTCTTTTTTAGATATAGTGCTTAAGGCTATCTTTTTACGTACCCGAAAAATAAATCATCATCACAATCACCAAGCAATGAACCGAATAAAGACATTTTGCAGGATAATTTTTTTTCCAATTATTTTTTTTTCTTTCTAAGGTTTTACGAAATTAACTTTTTACTTAGCTATACCAAGACTGCAATGCAACTTTCTTATATAAATGTACTAGAATACAAACTATTTTAGAAATGGGCGAAATGGTTATTTGCAAGTAAAAAATTGTAATAAAATGTGTGTTGCCATTTTTACTAAACTGAAGTAGCATCACCAATAAAAAAAAGCTTTTTTAACAATATATAAAAATAAAGGCACTAGTGAAAATAATAACTCCTCAATTGTTAGGTATATGAATGCAATATTATGTGTCTTCACGAGATAAAAATTAAAAGACAACTAAATTAAATTCTAATTGCTGATTTTTTGTTCCGTTAATCATACTTTCCAACTAATAAGGGAATACACTCTTAAATAAAAGTTTATTACACTTACACACAAGTGAAATGAAAGAACGTATATTTTGACAACGTTGAAGTATATGTTAAAATTAGCACGATTTGTCAAAATATTCAACAATAATTCTTGAAGAAAAAAAAACACCTTGTAATTTTTTAACATATTTGGACAAAGCTTATTACTTTTTACAAAGTTAACTATGCTAAAATTAAATACTCTGATATTATAACAAAAAAAATATTTAAAAAAAGTCTGCCGCCAGCTTAACATTGTTTTAATATTTACAGTTTTAAATCAACTAAATTACTGCTCACGCATAAATTCTTTTTCACAATAATTTTGGGGCAAAAAATGTTATACCAATCGGAGGTCTGAAACTTTCAATACGTGCAATATTAGAAAAAAATATTGATGTGTAAAGTTCAACTTTTCTAAAAGAGAATTCATATTTCAAGTGACCGTATTCACATTTTAAGTGTCCGAAACAAATTTTATATTTAAGAAGTGAGATTCAATTTTAAATTTAGTGGAACTCACAAATTGGGTATAAGTGATGATGTTGTAACTTGAATGCAAACAGTTGCAGCTTGAATGTAATACTTTGCTTTTGTGTAAAAATAAATTTCTTGATATCTGATTACTTCGTGCTTTTTGCCGATTTGTATGTTTAGGAAAATTAAGACCGAGAATACAGGAAATACGTTAATCAACTTGCAAGCGTAAAAAAAATCTAAAGTAGTTTCATAAAAATTGCTATAAAATTCAAGCTTCAAATTGGATAACTTTTTATATATTTTTTAGTTCATATTCAATAATAAATTAATCAAACGGTCCTTTTGCAAAACAATAATTAAAAATTAATTCAGTTAAATTTTAATATCTGGAAATCACCTGCTTTTTCAATCCGTTATTTTATAAAGCTGAGCACACTCCAATAAAAAAATTATGGTAAAGTTTACCATTCTTTTATACAAATAGAATAAAAGCGCGAATGTTCATTAATACATTATAAGCCTCAAGGTTACTTTTAAGATAATAAGTCTAAAAGTTAAATTTGTTAAAATTTAAATTTGTTTCATGAAGAGATCACAAATTGAAATACTATGTATACCACCAATAAGTACAGTACTAAAAGAAAATATCGTTTTGATAAATTCGTGACAACCCTGGCGTTGATCCATAACATTTTATAATTGTCAAAGCCTAGTTTTGTATGCGAAACAAAGAAAATAAAAACAAAGGCGAATTTAAAAAATCCTTTCGAATTTTGTTTTGATTATTTAAATAAATTTAGATCTTTTAATAAAATAAGAGTGTGCATTTTGTTTGAAAACATTTTTTAAAAAACATTTAAGATGCGAAAAATTATGATGTGATTCAAAATTGTTTTAATATAAAATCGCGATGTGCAATAAGTGGCAATGAAAGGACTCATAATTAAATTTAAATACAATTAGATTTAAATAAAATCTGCATAAGTTGTTATTATATTAATGGCAAGTATTACTGTTCAAAAACCAATATTTTAATAATTTAAGTGAAAACTAAGCTAGTTGAAATAGGATAAATGATCATTAAAAAAAGGATCATGTCGGATATTTTTATTTGTATGTATATTGTATTGTAATGTTTAATTGTTTACAACACAAAAACAATAAAAAACAGAAATTTGATTGTATTATGGTAGAAAGAGAAACTAAATATCATGCACACTGTCTGTTTTCTCAGAAGTTAAGTCCAAATAATATAGAAACTGAAGTTCAATGTATCAAACTCTCGAAAATAAAGACGATATAAATTCCAAAAACACGAGCATCTTATAAAATTTCTAAGAAATATTACTTGAATTACGTTCCAGTGTAGTGCAGCTTTTAAATAGCTCATTCAGCAACTAATTGCTATCACTTGTACGGCAACAATTCATTTATTTTGTGCAATTGCTTTTCCAGATTTCTAGATTTTTGAGTGTTATGTTGTAAATGTATTCTTCAGGTTTGTTTTAGAAATCAGTTTGAAAGTTTGAGTTATTAATTTTTTAATTAGTTAATACATATATTTAAAGTTTGTCCATGAAAAATTATTATTTTTGGGAAAATTGGTTATTTTTGTGGCAAAAAATTTTTAATACTTTTTAATACACAAAATATTATTAATATGTTTGTGTGTATAATGAAGAACTATTTTTTTTATTTTTTGATTTTTGATCTTTTGATTAAACTGATTCGCGTTAGCCTTCAGCTAAAGGTTGAATTTTTTCAACTTTTACTCAGGTTTAGAAAAAATAATTACGTGCAATTACTTCAATAAAGGAAGATTAACGAACTTTCCAGCCATTTCAATTTTGTATATGGGTTAAGCTAGTTTTAGTGGCTCGTTAATCGTTGGTTTTGCGAGGAGCTGGTGTATTTTGTATTGGGATTTCACATTTCAATTTGCCTTTCTCTTCATGCAACTTTTTTCTCTTAAAAAGCTGAACTAACTAGGTAGCGTTTACACATCAAGTAACACTTTGACAATTTCATTTAATTGGATAGAAATTTAATAAACATTTAATGTATAATCGTCCAATCAAATCAAAATCGAACGAGAAAAATATGGTCCAATTCTTATCAAACTTTTTTGACAGAAATATAAATATAAAATGCCAAGAATTAATTTTGCTCGTTATGTGCGATTTGATTAGCTGTTTATTGTGGTCAGCAAAGTTTAGTATTTTAAAATTTATTTTTTATAGGTATACTTCGATGTGAAAAAAAAAAATTAATTTGACAGCATATTTACTCAAAAAAAGTTTCATGTGTAAACAGAATTTCTCATCTAATTTCATGGTTGTCAAATTTAATCATCGAAATTTATTTGATGTGTAAAACTTCTTTACGTAATGGACATGCTACATACATATCTATTAAGTTAATTCTGTTCATTAATTTAACTGTCAATTTTTTTTTATTCATATTGTGATTGTAGCTGTGTATGCATTCACAATACGAGATTACAACGCACCATAAGGGCAAGCTGAAATTGAAAGCTACTTTAATGTGGCTTTGAAATGTAAATCTTTGTTACTAGCCATGTGAACTACAAATAAAAACCGCTTTGCGCTAATATTGTTCTGCGTTGCGCTGCCTTGTTGGGGTTGCATTGTGAACAAAGCAAAAAATAAAATTAAAAAATACTCTTACATATGATCTAAGTACTGCAAAAATTAAATTTTAAAGTAAAAACAGAAATCTAAATGCTACATTGATTGCCTTAAGATATCCTAACGTGTTCTAAATTTCTATAGTTACTTTTTATATGTAAATGATCTTAGTTACTTTTTATATGTATATGAGGTACAATCTAAGTTAATCTTTAAATAATATAAAAAAAAATCTACGATTTAATCAGCGTTTGATGAAATTTATATATGCAAACTCTGCTTGACATCAGACTTTGTCCGAAAGCAAATAATAGATATTAGCCTATTGCCATCAGATTTGATGTGAGATTTTTTGAAAGTATATTAGCGAGACTATATTATTAATAAACTAAATATTGAATATTATTGGCGACAACCGGTAATTTTTAATATTCAATATTTGATTTCAAATGGATTTTAATTTAAATACTTAATAATATTCAAATTTTTAGATTGGATAATGCCAAAACCATTTTTTTCTTTCGATTTTAGTTAAGTAATTTTTTTGGCATTCCCGAAAGTTCCGGCTCACATAATGTAAAGTGAAAATGATACGTTTTTCATACTGGCGCTGGCAACACCTAAAACTTAAATGTTGACATAAATATATCAAATGTCACTTATAAGTTTTAAAAGAAAAGAAAATTTGTTTCAAAGCGATTATTTGTAATGAAATTAGGCAATAATTTGAAAAAGGGTTCATTATAAAAATTATTATTAGATAGGCAAAAAGCAGAATTATTTTGATATAAATTCCAGGTAAAAGAAAAACTATTGAGAAAATAAAAGTTTATCTAACTCGTAAAATTACAAGCTTTTACACCCGACTGGATTGGAATTTATCTAGGTGTTGTTGGTAAAAAGAAAAGTAATTGTTTTAAATTCTAAAGGATCATTTTAACATTAACCAACGTTTATATATCTGTAAAAAAAATTTTTTTCCATTTTTGATAGGAAGTCCGATGATATGTGGAAAGAGCCATGCATATTTAAAAATATTTGAGTATTAATGAACTTGCAAATTTTTCGTCAATTGAATTATTAGTCATTTGTAAGTTTAATAAGATACGTACATACTTTTTTCAATTTGTTATCAATTTCTGATAACATAATTCATTAAATCAACAGTAGAAAAAATATAAAAAATGCTAAGCCCAAATTTCCTATGTAATATAAAATATTTTCATCGTATTTACATATATATGTACATATGTAGTAAATAGAAAAAGCTAACAATGGTGCAGGACAAAAAATCAATTTACAATTCAATTAACTCTCAGATTTAAAACAACGGTGCAATGCTAAAAATCAATTTACAAGAAAATCTTTTAATTTATCGTAAGTGTGAATAATTAAGCACTGCCAAAATATTTGATAACAAAACAAAGATTTCGGAATAAAGACCAAAAATATGATAAGATAGGGAAAAACGTTGGAACGTAAAAGTCAAAGATATCGGTAAATTCCATCGTTGTAAAAGCTTAAAAAAAGTTTTAAACGAATAAGAGTTTAGATAATTTTTTCAAATAAATGCTTTTTAAAGTTTTAATTGTTTTTCCATTTGCATTTTGTATTTAAAGTTGCATATTTTAAAAGAGATCTAAAACTTCATCGCTTTACTAAATCACAGTAGAAAACATCAGAGTTATATTCGAAATTACGTAAAAAATGCCAAAGTTCAACGATAATCCTTTTGAGGATCCTGCAATTGATAACCCATTTGCTGATCCAGTTATACAAAATGCTACTAGAAATTCAAACACTATACAAAATTCAATCGAAGACTACAATCCATTTGAGCATGATCAATTCGTCCAACAAAAGACTAATAATACCAATAATTCTATAGCAACTATGCCAACAACTACATACAACACTTCTTCACAGCAACCACCACCAACCACCAAAGAGCAACAAAAATTTGGTAACACGCCTATATCAACCGAAGAACTACAGCGTCGTCAAGAAGAATTAGATCGAAAAGCTGCTGAATTAGATCGACGTGAACAGCAGTTGCAAGGTCGAGAAGGGATGCAACAATTAAATAACTGGCCCCCTCTGCCAGCAAAATGTTGTTTTAAGCCATGTTTTTATCAAGATATCAATGTTGAAATACCATCGGAATTTCAACAAGTAGTCAGAAGATTATATTATGCTTGGATGTTCTATGCACTTGCAATGTTTCTCAATATTATTGGCGGTTTGTTAATTTTGTTTAGAGACAAAACTATTTCAACATTTCTTTTATCAATATTTTACTGTTTTTTATTTACACCTGCTTCATACTTATGTTGGTTTCGGCCTGTTTACAAAGCTTTCAAAAGTGATTCAAGTTTTAACTTCATGGTATTCTTTTTTGTATATTTTTTTCAAACAATTATTACAATTTTCCAAACAATCGGGATTCCGTCTCTAGGATATTGTGGTTACATTTTGGCGTTTGAGCAAATGAATAACGGCGACGCTTTTGGAATATTTGTTGGAATTATATTGCTCTTAATTGCTATATGTTTTACAATATGTTCTGTACTAAATGTTATGTTGATTACAAAAGTACATGCAATATACCGAAGTAGTGGAGCGAGTATGGCGAAAGCACAAGCAGAATTTACGAACAATTTCATGTCAAACAGGCATGTTCAGCAGGCTGCTTCTTCTGCAATGTCATCAGCCATGAATTCACAGTTTAATAACCGATATTAATTATATAATACGAAATATGCTTTTTGATTATAATTTAATATATATTTTTTGCATAAATGTATCTACATACTAAATATATTGACGTTAATTCATTAAAATCGTGTTGATGGTGGTTATTGTATGATTCCTACAAGAAAAAACGTAAAGTGTAAATTCAGAAAATGTTATGCCTATTTCAAAATAAAACAAAACATTTAACTGCTAATTTTTGACTTTTAATATACATATGTATGTACATATTTTGAATTTATAAAAAAATGTGAATTTTTTGTATGGATTTTCACTTCCTTTCAAATATTTTTATAATTACTTCGCAAGATGGAAATTGAACTTTTAAAACCAACGGGTAATATTACAGTTTAGGTCAGGTAGGTACTTCGAAATAACCCTAACCGCCATTATGGCAAATTAAACTGGATGAGTTTAATAAGAATGAGTTTTTATATTGAAAAAAAAATGAAATGGTCTATGTTTTATATTACATACATATATGACTGTAAATAAGTGATTTGATGCGATAGTATCAAGAAAGTATCTTCATCCCCAATTGATAGTTTTTTTTTTATATGTCTTTTGATTACATATTTCGCTTGATCTTTTTTATTATGAAGGTAATTTAATTTCAATATTGTTGAAGTAAAATAGAAAAAAATCAGTATTTGGTAGGTAATAAGTTTTGCTATACATATTTATGTACATAGTACATATATGTATATGTTCACCGTTAGTCAATCCCAATCGCCAAAAATAACGTATGTATATGTATTCCAAACAAGTGTTTATAAATTGTTTACACATTTAACATTTTAGCAGAGATTGACAGCAAAAATTTAATTTAAAACGGAAGTACTTATTCTAATTTTTTCAGCGATTCTGATATAATTGTATATTACGAAGATAATCGACAATCGTTGCTTTTATCAAATGCCGTTTCAATGACTAAATATCAAACAGGCTTAAACTTTTGATGGAACAAGAAACTTCGCGATGGCACACATTTTAAATTTCGTTTGTTTTTTGCATTCACAGAATTTATAATATGTACATAATCAAATCGAAGCTATTCAATACGTCATTCATGCACGTATGATTATTTTCAAACAGAAAATAAGTGCGTATCACTTTATGATAAAATTGGGTAGGCTTGTCTATAACTAGATAATGCTTTTATTTAGAAAAAAAATCATATTTCAATAGTTTACAAACTATTTCACTACAAAATATTTCGTTTATCTAACTAAATTATTCGTTTTTGTCTTATTTGATAGATTACAATAGTACTAAAACATGGGTGCTTGTTTGACGTTGGAAAGAGAAGAAGAAATCGCAGCAAGACGACGAAGTAATGAAATCGACAAACAGTTGGAAATTTTGGCGAAAGAACGACCAAAAATTTTAAAAATCTTATTATTGGGAGCTGGTGAAAGTGGTAAGTTCGTTATAATCATTTCTATAAATCTGTAAGCGCTATAAATCTATAAAACGCAATAGGAAACGGAATCGTATTATGAATTTATTTCGATTTTACGTAATATAAATATTTTATATTCATATTACGTAAAATCGAAATATTTTAACTGGTAAATAAATAAAGAAAATTCACAAAAAAAGGTTCTCTAAAAGATATTGACATTTCTGAAAATTAGTCTTTGTTTTTTTGAAAAACTCAGATTAAATTTTTTTTTCTTGTTGTTGTTTTTATTTTTTTTTTAAATATACTCGTAGGCAAATATTCTAAGTAAATTTAAGATTTTTTTTCATATATAAAATGTTAACAAAACTATCTGTGTAAGCATAAAAAATAAATCATTTTAACTAATCAATCATTTTAATAATTTAAGTTCTTTTGTTTCATTTATTTGAAACTTAAAGTATAGAAAACTTTTGACATACTTAATTAAGTGTTTTTAACTAATTGTGGTATTGAAAATTTATTGTTTTTTGTATTTCTCTCATAACCAAAGCAAATGAAAAATCAGCTAATTGTCAAAAATTAAAATTCTAAAGAATTGTTTTTTTTTTAATTTTTGTCTCATGAAGAGATTTTAAATCTCATCGCAATATTAAGTGTATTTTAGTTTAAAATTGTCAGGCACATTTCAAGAACACGTTTCTTTGAAAAAAAAATCTAAAAGAGCAACAAATGTTTTTATTGTTTTTAGTGCCATTATCTATTCAGTTTTCAATGATTTAAAGTTTTAGTACGGTACTGTATTATTAAGAACAAATTTGAAAGCTGTCATTAAAATGTCTAAATATTATTTCACGTTCTGACATATGTTAAGGAATGTATGTTATCAGATAATTTCATTCGTAAAATAAATCCGCAAAAAATAGTACATATTATATATACATATATATTGGAAAGCATTTAAAAAATATTATCAAAATTTTTAATGGCTTGAAAAGCTATCAAGCAAACTGTTTTAAAATAACAATGTATACAAATGAAGATGCAAAATTTATTTGAAAACTTTTATATCGTAAACAAATTCGTCATATGAACTTTGAGAATACATATACATAGGGAAGTACGTTGGATCAGCCAATTTGCAATTATACTGCTATCAAAATCCAGCAAAAGAACATAAAGTATATAAGTCTGGACCAGGGTTTGAAAATTGTGTAAAAAATGGCTAGCCCAAAAAGTAAATACACGGACGAAAGTCACATGAATGTAGAATATTTGCCCCTCAGAATCCAAACGAAAATTAAGTGTGATATTGAAAATTGCTTAGAAAATCAATCTAGTACATCTGCTTGTTCACAAGTACCTTTGGTCGGAAGTATGGTCGGAGATCTGAAATCAAAAAACTCAACAAAATCGAGAATGCCAGGTATTATTTCTGTATTAAAAGAAAAAAAACAGACGCAAACTTCAGAAAGTGATTACTCTGATGATTCTATCGATATGACGATCAAAAAATCACCAGTGTATTCAAAACGAATCAATACTATAAACGATATTCATTGGATGACACATGCAGAAAATATATTAGAAAACGATAATAAAGGAAAAAATTTCCGCGAAGTGTATGAAAGATTTTCCCAAATTGTCATTAACGAAAGCTACCTGGAACAGTGGAACTTGTTTAATCAATTTCGTAGCATTTTAATGACAATAGCCGTACGTTTATTCGAAAATGATTGGAAATTTTACTGCGAGCAAAATCTGGATTCATTTTTTTGGAAAACCTTATTTTATAATGTGCTGCAATTTTTAAAATTTAAACAGAAAATATTAAAAAATGATTTTCAATCTTTAAAAAAAAAATCCTTACAAATTGTCGAAGAGGGCTTCAAATTTTATAAAAGTTTTATTTCCGTTGTGGAAAATAAATTCACTTTTAAAATCGAATTCTTGTTATCGAATAATACGTATCAACAAAAGATTAATTCATTATTAAAAGTTTCAATACAAAAGCTCTTTTTGAATCTTGGAGATTTACATAGATATCAAGCAATATTAGAAACTAATAATTTCAACGAGGCCAAAAAATACTACACTCAAGCACAAAAGCTGATTCCTGGTAAAGTTAATTTTATAACTAAATTTTAAATAAAATTGATATATTTTTTCCTTTTTTTAGAAAATGGAGTGCCATATAATCAATTAGCTATCATATCTTTAAGTTTTAATAATTACTTTGATGCCGTTTACTATCATATTAGAAGTTTATCGGCGTCAAATCCTATTATTTCTGCAAAGGAAAGCTTAAAAATATTACTAGACGAAATTCGTAAAAAATACGATAATAAATTTCAAAATATTCAAGATACAATTTTAACACTGGACTCCAGTAAACGGGAGGATCCTGTAAGAAATTTTCGTAAAGAAATTTGGATCCACCCCAATGGAAAAAGAAAATTGCGTTTTCAATCAGAATCTCTGGGAGATTTAGTGAATGATAAAAAATCACATCACTCTATAAATGAAATCAGTTTTAATAATCCCAATAAACTGCTAAATTTCGATCAAGAAGATTTAGGTGATTCTGGTGGAGTGTCTAAGAAAGAGCAGAAAAGGGAATTCATTCATAATTACTTATATGTAGTAAGTAAAATTTACGTTGGCGTAAACATGGAAACATTTGAAAATGCTATGTTTCGCATGCTTTATCAATTTAATAACGTCATAAGTCAACATCCAACTATATTATCCCGAATGCAGTTACTTGAAATTATTGCAATTAATATTTTTCTTTATGAATACAGTAAAAAGAAAAGCTCGGATCAACAAATATCTATAACAGAGCAACAGGTTCAAAATTATGCGTATACTGTTGGTTTATTAATGTTTGGCATAACTATTACTAAAGCTAATGACATCTTGAAGGAGTTTATGTTAGATCTGAACAATGAAAGTACGGAAAATTTTAATTTTTCTCAAAAATTCGAGGTTATCGGAAAAGATACAAAGCCAAAGCTTAAAAACGTTTGTGATCATATTTCTTCAAATGAATCTTTAGAATGTGATACTTGTAGAAGTAGTTATACAAAAGAATACGAACTCAAGTTGGTGGATAATTTGCCCGTTCAATTTATTGATTTACTCCAATCGATAAAAATATGGTGCAATTGGCTTACGTTAAATCTTTTTTTATGTAAATCACCAATTTATTATCAACAAATTACACCGTGGAAGAATTTCGCAAATCTGTTGACATCTCTTGCGAAAATATTTAAACACTTAACTAAAACTATATTTATGGAAAAGTCACTCAAATCACCTTTGCTAGAAGAAGATTTTTATTTATTAGGATTTGGACCGTTAAAAAAAATTCTACCAAAATCAGCTAACTGTAATATAAATGACGATAAAGAGTATTCCGCAGTTTTATATCGAATAAGAGACCTTTTTCAATTTGGTGTAAATAATCTTTGTTCTAATGATTTATCAATTTTAAATGTTGAACAAACGTGTAGTGGAGACTTAGTTTTTACTAAAAACTTGAAAACATTTAATGAAAACCAAAGTCTAAATATTTTAGGAAATGTTTCTTCTGATAAAGAAGCTTTTAACGAATCCGACGAACATGAGGATCCCCAAACTGCGTGGAAAGAAAAAATTTTTAGTGTTATGGAACATTGTGAAAATTTTCAGGATAATTTTAGCGAGTTTAATAACTTAAAAAATAGAAAAATTATGCTAGAAAGGTCAAATAAGGCTCAAGAATTGTACAAAGAAAAGTTAAAAAATGTGTTAGAAGATGCCGGAAGTTTAAGTGTAATGGAAGTAAGACCAAAATATTTAGTGCCTGACACTAACTGCTTTATAGATTTTTTAGACGAATTAGAATATCTAGTTACAAAACATAATTCATATGTTTTAATGGTACCATTGGTTGTTATTAACGAATTAGAAGGATTAATGAAAGGTTTTAAAATTGATTCTAATCGCGAAATGTCATGGAAGAACGCAAACTCTCGGATACATCATTTTGACGAAGTGGCAAGAATATCAGAAGCATCTCTAAATTTCATAAAAAATTTTAATCGTTTTAATATTCGTTGTTGCACTAGCCGTGGTTCTATCTTAAAAAATTCTTCAGCTTTTACATTTGAAGAAAATGACGACAACAGTAGCTCAAATGATGATAAAATTTTAGCTAGTGCTCTTTCTATAGCTACAGAAAGTTACATAAAACGTAGTGAAAAATCGTATTTACATACGGAAGTTGTATTATTGACAACAGATCGAAATTTAAGAGTAAAAGCATTGGCAAAAAACATAGCTGTAAGCGACTTAACCGAATTTTTAAATTGGATCGAAGAAAAAGATATTGAGTAACAATTTATTTGGAAATCATTTTTTTTTTTAATTTATATTTTAGATTTACGAATCGAAAAAATATCAAATTTATATATATATATAGCGTGTAAATATTTTAATAATTTGAAGAATAAAAAAATTTTAGTTGGGTTTTATTACTTATACATAGTTTTATTATAGGGTTGTTAGTTAGGTAGTTGCAATTGAACTACTTTATTAACGCTGAATGAAATTGTATCTCTGAAATCCTATTTCTTTTGAGTTGACAGAAATTTCTTTGAAAATGCAAGCTTAATACATATACTTTACTTGATCATACTTATATGTATAAATATTTTCTCTCCTATAGGTAAAAGTACCCTTGTTAAACAAATGAAAATAATCCATTCCGATGGATTCACACAAAGTGAATTGTCAGCCTTTCGACCTACTGTACTTGATAATCTTCTTTCTTCAATGAAATTCGTTTTAACTGGAATGGGTTTGCTACGAATAAATTTAGAGCATGCCATCAACAAAGGTTACGCTGAAATCGTGTTAGCAAGTCCAAGTTGTTTTGATATGGAATTTAGAATTATAGGAAAAGTTCGTAACGCATTAAAGCTTTTATGGAAGGATCGTGGAATTCGGTTGGCTGTAGCCCGTGGATATGATTATGAATTGAATGATTCGGCTCTCTAGTAAGAAAGTTTTATTGAAAAAATTTTAAACTTTTAATTTTAAACTTTTTTTAAATCTTAGTTTGTTTGAAAATATGGATAGAATTTTGGAAGAAAACTATATTCCTACGGCAACAGATGTTTTAAGGGCAAGAGTAAGAACAAACGGAATTATTGAAACGAATTTTCGAATGAATGATGCTATAATAAGGTATGAGATAAATTAATAGTTCATTTAATTGCAAATACAAATTTAAAAATTTAAGCTGCCAAGTCATATTAAAGCGAAACTTATTAATATTACAGTATGTATGACGTTGGTGGTCAACGTTCTCAAAGAAATAAATGGGTATACTGCTTTGAAGATGTAAGAGCAGTACTTTTTGTAGTTGCTTTAAGCGGATATGATATGACCTTACTTGAAGATTCAAGTGTTAATCGGTTGGAGGAAAGTTTAAATCTATTTGAACAAATTTTAATTAATCCTTTCTTCAAAAACGCATCGTTTGTATTATTTTTGAATAAATTAGATTTATTTCGAGAAAAAATTATGTCAACAAAAAGGCATTTAAGAATATTTTTTCCAGAATACAAAGGTAATCTTCAAATAAAAATTTTATAAATAACGGTGATATTTAACGGTTTTTTTTAATTTTTTTATTTTAGGACCAGATAGAAACATTGATCAAGCAGCCCTCTTTATACAAAATAAATTTTTAGGACGAAATCACAATTCAAGACGGATTATATGCCCCCATTTTACTACTGCAACAGATACTGCAAATATACAAACAGTTTTCCAAGTAGTAATGGAAACTGTAATAAAAGAAAATTTAGGAAACATCACACTATTGTAAGATTAGAATTAAATAACTATTATAAGAGTTTAATATTATTTTTTATAATACAATTTAAATCATATGCGCACTCGTTAATTCATGAAACGTAATTATTGTTTTGAATTACGTCATGAGACGTAATTATTGTTTGGAAACAGGCCCAAGCAATTTTTTTAAGGCAGTTTAGAAGATTTTTGAATTAATTTTGCTACCTTAGTGTATATGTATATATAATTTGACATGGTCCTTATAAGTATTTGCATTAAGCAATTTAATGGGACAATTCCAATTTAATTATAATGTAATATTTATATAAATATTGATTTAACTTTATCTCTTAAGAATCTTATAGGATATTGCAATTATTGTTGAAGATCTCAAACTTTTGAGTTATAAAATTTAGATAGCTAAAAATATTTAAAAATAAAATCAATTTCACAAAAAAATGTTTCAAATTTCAAAATACGAAAAATATAGGTAATATAAATACGAAATATATATGTATACAGAAAGAAAACATATTTTGAGTTTTAAAAGTGTAAAAAATTCTGATTTAGCTTTTTTGCCATTTAAGTTTCACAAAGTGAGACTATTTTATTTTTAAGATTTTTTTAAGGCAAATTATTTTACAAATTGTGCGAGTTTGCTTACACGTATTATGATCGCCCTTCCTTTTTTTTATTTATAGAGAAAAAAAATGGCAAAAGCATTGCAACCCTTGTCTTGTCTTCAGCACAACCCGAACAAATTTGGAAAAAAGTAATAATTAATTACAGGTCAGCCTGTCCGAACGTATGTTTCAAAGCTTCTGCACCCATAACTGAAAGTTTATAAAAAACGATATATTACTTCTCTAGAAGAAAACTTTTACATAGCTACATACCTCATTAAAAGTTGGTCCACAAAATTTCGGCAAAGACTACTTTTTGACTATATGTATAGTGTCGAATCAAGATTTTTTCAAATTGTACAAACCTAGAACAATCTGCCTTCTTCGAAACAGATTATGCACAAGTGACAATAAAAAATTTCCTGCTATATTTAGTTACCTGAAGCCTCTAACTTATGTTGTGGGAATCGAAGATTTTGTAGAAACAGTGTGAAATTTTGCTTTTGAAGGTAACCTCTTGAAATTAGCAAAATTTCAATATTCGCGCTATTTTCCAAAACTCAGAAACTTTTCCAAATTTCTTTAAAAGCAAAAAATTAATGGTGAATATCTTCCGTGCAGAAAACATAATTTTTCTGAATCCCTATATTAACTGCTAAATTCGATCATTTTATTAACCAACCTCCTTCGTAATTTTTGCTCTTAATGTATGAGAAATGTAATGAGTATAAACGTTTGTAGTAAAAAATCGTAAACGAAATTAAATACATACTGATAAAGCTTCATAGGATCGAATTATAAACCATGTAAATATTTTTTGGGTAAATTTAATAATGCATCGATGTGGTTAAGATACGCAATTAAGTGTGTTATTCCTATAAAGTGAATCGTGCATCATATCCATACTTTATAGAATTATGAATATTCTATACAACCCCATCTGCTTGTAGGAAACAGGTTTATTGGCGACATTTACTTTTGAGCTGAAATTCAATGCTTCAGATGCAATTCCTCTTTGCTTCTTCGGGTGAGTCTTCAATTTCAATTAAAAATCCAAGATTATTTTGAATTACTTGGGTTTATTAGCGCATGACACCGGTTATATGATTGTTTATTGGAGCAGAAATTTTCCTATATATTAAATAAACCCGAACCTACCGCACTTTAGAGCATGTTTTTTTGAAATAGTGGCAGTTCATCCGCAAATACTGTCACTACAGTGTTTAGCGTCACATTTATATAATTCAGGTATAGAAGCTATAGGTACTTATATATCTTTAGGGGACAAATACTCCAGTACCTTTTCGATAGTTCGTTTTTATATTTTACTATAAGCATTACTTTCCATTGTGTTCTTTTATTCTTCTTTCGTACTTTTAAATAATTATGTTATCTAAACACGAAAATATAAATTAGGTATGTGTGTTCACGTAATATTTACTTAGTTATCAAGAAAATATTTATTATAATAATAAGTTTAATTTTTGATTATGTTTCATATAATCTATTTGTATTGATAAAATAATAACAGTAATAATGAAAGTAGTTAGTTTGTGTTTTTATTGCAAAAATCTATAGGTAAATTTATTGTTTTTGGGATTTCTTCAAAAGTTGAAGTTTACAAAATATGTACATTGTTGATATATTGGCAGTTTTATCAAACTTACCGCATAAAATGTTTACTTATTAAGTATTTAACAATTTCTTTTAGCCTTCAACGGAACAGCGTCAACTAAAATATTCAAAGCCATTTTTAAACTTTCTTCTGCAGCACTAATCTGTGCACAAGGGTAATATTTTGAGAATCTGTTCAAAAATTCATAATATCTTTTATAATTGGATAAAGCATATTGAAAATCATATGACATTAGCGATGTTATATCATCATATTCAACTTCGTCAGGTACTTCAGTTGGTACTGGTAACTTTTCAAAAAGAGGATAATCATATTTGCAGGCTTCGCAGCTGCACTTAAATCTGTACTGTGTCTCTAATTTTTTTTGACGTAATTCCCTTCTTTTTGTTGCGTAATGATATCTAAAAATTAAATTATTTTTAACAAAAAGTATATTGAAAATGTTAAATCTTTTCAATACCCATAATTGTCGTATAAAGTTTCATTTGCTTTAATTGGCCTTAAAATAAACAAATATGTCGTAGTTCCTTTATATATACGTACGGTATTTGGAGCACAAGAATGGTTTAACAGACCTTTGAATAAAATACAAACATTAATGCTTTAATATTATTTAAAATGTGCGTTCAAATATACAACTTTTTAACTATATTATTTTGATCATGCACATCCATGCATATACTGAAAAATACGCGAAATATCCATTCTTTTTATTTATTACTAATTATTAACAATTATTATTCATTTTTTTCATGTCTAAAACTTTATAAGGTTTATAAGTTTTGTGTCGCACCCATCAAATGTTATATTTATAAACACTAAACCCGATAACTCTACTAAAATTTATTGAATACAAACGACCCAGTGCCACCTAAAAAGATTAAATGTATATATTCAAAATATTAATTTTTATTTACTTCCAAATCCATAGGCAGCCGATGCAAAACACTGATCGTCATTTGTTTCGTTTTTTTGTTCTATCAAATCAACGCTATGCATATTGGAAGGTGATGTTTGTAAATGTCTAAACAATAATTCGACGAAAACATTTTCACCTTCGTTCCCACCTAAATAGTCTTTAAGAGGTGAATGATTTAACAAAAAATTTTTTAAAACTGTAAATGATTGAAAAATTAAATTTCTAATTTGCAATAGATATTATGTCACAAAATTTACCGGCAGCTATGACACTTCTTTGAAATAAATCATCAAGAGTTCGCTTGCATTGGTTTGTTACTAAACCATGAATAGCTTTATAGTATTCTTTTCTGTCGAAGTTGCTGTAATCGAGTGTAAAGGAACATTGACTTAAATTCTGCGGGTTTCTGCAAAAGCTAATACATTCATCTATATTTTCAAATAACGTTAAAGCTGTTAGAGTAACTCTCAGTGCAGTCCAATGAATTTTATTAAATATATTATTTAACATGTCGATTATTGGACACTCAAATTGATGAAATTCTTTATTTGCCTCTATTTGGCATTTCTCACTACAAAACATAGCCGAAGTGCATTCTACACAAGGAATTAATGTAAAATAATTTTCTTCTTTACAGTTCGCACACCTAATGTAACGCATTGGCGGCAACAGTACTGAACAAAACGCTTTTTCAATTGAAACTAAATCTCCAGGTGATAAATCTTTTTTGGATATGATATATCTTCCCGCTTCTTTTGTGTATTGAAGATCAAGACAATCAGCTATGAAGGGTACTTGTGGATGTTTCTCAAAACTTAACTTAAAATCATACGGTTTCGTGTTTGATACCTGATTATTGAGCAAGGCACGACAATTGGCTTCACGTTTGTTTAATTTGTGAATTAATCGTTCAGGATAATTATATTTGCGGGCTAGTTCAATATTATAGAGGCATTCTTTATAGCGTTTCCACTCAAATAAAACCGCTGATCTATTTGCGTATCCAATACTAATATTTTCTGAATTCGGCTGCGCGAAACATATGCCTAGCCAAAATAAGAAATAATTTTATTTGTTTTCTATATTCCTCTAAAAATATTTGAACTTATTACTTTTATTATATAGCTCTAGAGCTTTGAAATAATTTTGTTTTTCTAATGAAAAGTACTCATTCCCTTCTTTCCGGAACGCTATTGACTTTTCGTTACTCTTTTCCAACCTCAAAGTTACCTTTAACCCAATTCTTTCTATGAACTGGTACTTTACTAGCAATTCTTCAACCGAATTAACTTTTTCTAAAATAAATTTTTTCTTTATTTTCTAATGCAAACCTTTATCAAAATTTTTTTACCGTAATTCTCCCTGATTTCACTAAATTCTTTAGAATAGCTATTAATTTTATTTATTTTTTTCAAAGCTTTCACTAATGCCTCGTAAATGTCATATACATCCTGCTTCCTTGAATTTGATGACATCTTACATAAACTAAATTATTTGATATGTTTTACATGGATTTAATTAATAAATAAATTAATTTGAGAAATATCGCTAATAAATATTGAGTATCAACCTATTTATTTTGCAATCAACAAATATTCGTCAAAAATTTTAATCCTCGATTTTTACTTTAATGTCAGTGTGACATTAACTAGCATGACCAAATTTCGGGATTTGACATATTTTCTTATATGCTGAGTTTATACGGTAGTGAAGTTAGTTAAACTTAGTATGCATGTAGCTAATGCATTTTGTCCTTTGTAGCAATCGTTTGTTAAAGGAATTCACACATTGGGTGCAATAAAAGTTTGACAGCAGTAAAATATTCGAAATGAGAACTAGACATTGAAAAGGAAAATAAATACATTCAATAGAAAGTATAATGGCGAATTTTATATTAATTTTGGTTTTCCCAAAACCAAATAATATAGCTAAATTATTTATTACTTCGTATCTCTTGTATAGGAGCGGGGTAAATTTGACCAAGTTTGTTAGACAGCGTTGAGCATTTAAACATTGTTCATGAATTCTGTTTGACGAAAATTTGATGACGACCTCTCTTATTTTCCATAAAAATAAATTACATAAAATTTTAATCAAATCAACTATTCATATGCAAGATTCGTAAAACGCAATTATCAAAAAATACTTGATTTTAATAAAAAAAAAAATGAAAATGACAGTATTGATTAAAAATAATTCACTTTGTATTTGCAAAACTCTTACGCCGTCAACTAGTTTATACCTTATTTCTATAGATAAACTGGCCGGCATATACATACATATTGTTTAACCAATTTTTAATAATATGTATTGAAAAATTAATATATTATGACATATACACATATTCTGTTTCTGTATTGCACATGTTGCTAATGCAAAAAGAAGTGTAACGAAGGACTGAGAAGCAAAATTTATATCTATTTCTAAATTTAAACATGGCAACAATAGCTAAAATTCTTGGAAGTCGGAGTTCATTACGATTACTCCTTAATAATAGGAATAGATTCTACAGTTGTAAGTAAATACATATTCTGAGAAAAATATAAAAATTATTTATATGCTAACATTGTAAGAAAATAAGATATTTTTAGTTTTGTTAACCTTATTAATTTAAATTTAATCAAATACATATGCATATGTATGTATATATGTACATACAAAAAGTTAGTGTAAACTTATTTGTTTAATTTTCTTCAAGCTAAGTCCTATGAATTTATTAAGTCTGAAATTGTTGGTGCAAAGTCCAATGTTGCTTTAATAACCTTGAATCGTCCTAAGGCGTTAAATGCTCTGTCAAATGGATTAATGAAAGAATTAAGTGATGCTTTAGAGCAGTACGAAAATGATAAGAATGTTGCTGCTATTGTTATTACCGGAAGTGAAAAGGCTTTTGCGGCCGGTGCTGATATCAAAGAAATGCAGCCAAATACCTATGAAAAATGTATCATGAATAATTTTTTGCATGATTGGACAAAAGTATCACATTGCCAAAAGCCAATTATAGCAGCTGTTAACGGTTATGCTTTAGGTGGTGGTTGCGAATTAGCAATGATGTGCGATATCATATATGCCGGTGAAAAAGCTAAATTTGGTCAACCTGAGATTGCATTAGGAACGATTCCCGGTGCTGGTGGTAGCCAAAGATTGACCCGTATAATAGGAAAATCTAAAGCAATGGAAATGTGTTTGACTGGAAACATGATTTCTGCCCAAGAAGCAGAACAGTCTGGTCTTGTTAGTAAAGTGTTCCCACCAGAAAAATTGGTGGAGGAGGCGATCAAGTTAGGTGACAAAATTGGTACACACTCTAATTTAATTGTACAAATTTGTAAGGAAGCAGTTAATTCTGCGTATGAGACCACTTTACAACAAGGATTAAACTTCGAAAGAAGGCAATTCCATGCAACATTTTCAACGGTGAGCAAAAGTTTATAATATAATATGACCAAACAATAATATTTATTTTTATAACTATATATGTATATTAATTTGAATTTGTAGAAAGATCGCAAGGAAGGTATGACAGCGTTTGTAGAAAAACGTCCTGCCAATTTCACTAATGAGTAGAACCTATACATCTCACGCAAACATCTAGCAGTTTAAACATATATAATATATTTACGTAGTTAATTTCTACAAAAATGAAGTAAACTATTTTATTGCATTTATTTTTTTATAAGACCGAATGTTTTTGTAATATATATATAAATATATAAGTACATACATAATCCAAAAATTGCATTTATTCTGTTCTGCTTATTAAATATACTTGAACTCAAACATTGATTGTGATTCAAAACGATTTTCAAGTTTGTTGATTTACACCTTTTGTATACCTATCTGTTGATAATACATATTAACTTATTTTTGCAAAACAAACGAATATATGCAAGAGCACGTAAATACGATTCCCTTGTTATATACATTTTTGTAAGAAATAAAGATGAATTGTGAATTCAATAATACATACATAATTTGATCTGTATCAAGTTAATAATAATTTGATACATATAAAAGTTTGGAGAAATTTAATTTATTGTATGTAACTTATTTTTTTCTATTGAAAGAAGTTTAAATTAGCTATTAAAACGTTTTGTTTAATATTATTTTATTGTTTTTAAGAGGAATTTGAATTGGCGTTTGAGGTCTATATGGTAAGGAAATCGATTGATACAGAATAAAATTGAATTAAAAATTTAATTGAAATTGATTTTAAAAAAATATTTATGACGTATTTACATATTTGGTCGAAGTAGATTTATTATATTGAATTTGAAAAGGTAAAGCACATTACATATTTGCAAGTGTAAAGACTAAAAATGCCACTTAACTACCAAATGTATGCATCTAAATTCGTAAAAAAATAAAAGCACTTTAAAGTTTTTAATATTTTAATTTAACGATTTTTTTTATTTTAACTAATTTTAATTCTACTGTATAAGTAAACTAATTTTTCTTTAAATTTTCTCAAAAAAAGAGAATTTCAAATAAAATATGAATACATCAAGTTATGTTTAAGTTTAATTTGTTCACGTTTGTATTATTGCTATTTAAGTTTTATTTAACAATAATATCTTTAAGAACAAATGTACATATGTAATATGTACCAAAAATTAATAGCGATATAGTAAAGGAAAACAATTTGTTTGGAAATAAGCAAAATTTTCAAGCAAATAAATTTTTTAACAGCTTTTCATTAAAATATAACTATCAGATGTTTAATACTATACTTTAAAATATGTAGTTAAACAAAATTGTAAATGGAAGAAATATATTTTTTTCTTTAATACCTATTGGAATTACATATATTTTTTGTGAAAAATATAAATATTTTTGTCTATGTACGCATGTATAATAATGTTTATCAATATTTTAAAAACAGAAATTACTTTTCAAATAATTTACATTTCTTAAATAATTTAATATTAACAGAATTTTTTTGGGTAGATCTTCTTAAAGAAATTTGTATTATCTACCATTATCTGATATAATAAGTATATATCAATAATTTATTTCTTAAATGTTCATTAATTTTTCTTATAAAAGTACGTTGACTTTCGCAAAAGAACTGAAAGAAAAATTTTACCGATAAATACATATTTCAATTCTTGTTTTCTTAAAGTATTTTTTTGTGTGTTCTCGTTTTTATTTTAATTGAATAGGAATGAGATAAACATTAATAGTTGAAATTATTTGTAATATATCTTAAATTTATTTATTATCTAGTTAGCAAGGGGTAATTTCAATTTTTTAAGCTTTAAAAACACCGTATTTTAGTATACGTTTGAATGATCCTACATTTATTAAGTGTTAAATGTTGGATCATTAAACATATGTACATATGTATTTTTTTTTTTAATTTTCATATGCTATAATATTAATTTGTTATATGTTACGAAAAATATTTATTATTTGTTTTATTTCAAATGTTATGCAAATTTCTTTTCAGTTTACACAAGACTTATAATAATTATACGTTTTTATACTATATAGCATATTGTTTTTCTAACACAAACTTGTATTTTTGACTTTTTTGATCACACTAGGTACATATCTAGTATTTTTTTTAATTTAAAATTTATTTCTTATTTAAAAAAATTGGGAAATGCCGGTTATTTTAACTTAACTACAAAATTATTATGTATAATTCAGTTAATAAAAAATTGATAAAGTAATTAAATCAATTGATAAGACTTGCATTGAAAAGAGAGAAGCAAAACACTTTTTTTATGTAATATATGCATATAATACGTTTTTTTTCTGCTAAAAGTGACGAAAATATTCTATAAATATGAACTATATAACGATATACAAACGTTTTATATAATAACACAACCGCAAGTATACAATGATAAGAATATAGTAATATTATTTATATGATTCATTAGAGTAGCAAAATCTCTACCTATATTGATCAGCGGAAGAAATTTATTAAAATTCAGTATTTCAATAACAATAGAGAAATTAGCTAGACTAAAAATTCGAGGAAAAAATTTATATAATATAAAATAAATAATAATACATGTAACTATTGTCACTAATAACCATATAAGTGTTAATAATGCAAAATTATAAAACGAAATGAAAATATTTTTCCTCAAATATATTTTCTATCTCCTTTAAGATTTTTTTTATCTATTTTGGACATATATATAACGCGCGATATCATTCAATTCTTTTTATTATAAAAGTCAAATGTTTCTCAATTATTTTTTTTATATTAAGAATTGATTTAGTCATGAAATATTAATAATTAAAAAAAAAATTAAAATTTGATAATACTACTTCTTATAACTTTTCATAATTTGTTTTCGAACAAAATGGAATTTGCTAATTTTAATTATTTACTAATATTTAATGAATTTCCATTTATATTATATTATATTAAGTTATATATTTTATCAATATTGCCCATGTAAAGTTTTCATGGAATAATGATCTTGTCTTTTTGTATTTCATTTCAACGAACTTTAAAGAACTTGTTTAGTTACTATAATAAAAGAATATGAATATACATAAACAGAAATACGATAGATTTAAAAATACTAGTTAAAGCGCGTAATGAAAAAAAAATTTTCATAAAATTTAGCTTAATGGATTAAAATAGTTTCGTTATATACTTAAATATTTAGTGAATGCGATGACTCCTCTAAATATATTTTTTTCTTCCATTCTCGTCACTAGATTTTATTTATAAAGCATCTACTATGACAATAAAAATCCTATACTATAATTTAAATTATTATTTTAATTTTTTTAACCAAACTTTATAAATACGATATCTTTTACGTAAAGCAACTTCAATTTTTAATTAGCGCAATTAACATAAATTGTAACAAATACATATACCTAGTACATTTATTATAGTTTAAAAATTATACATAATTTTTTTTTCATTATTCACACTTTATGTCTACAAAAATTTATTATTAAAATAAAATTATCTCTTTCCATATTTCATGGTAGTTAGTATTTTTGTAACAATCTCTACTTATACCCTTTAGGATATTATGTGTGTTTCTTCAATATCTATAAAATATTTAATTTCAATATATAACTATATACATATACATAAATAAACTTTAGTGTTATATATTGAATATAATAATACAATTTAATTAATAATGCTTTTAAGGTTTTACTGGTATTTTAATAGGTGGGTGGCTGATAATCCGATGGGTCAACTACAAATTAAAGAACATATTAATATGCATTTAATTAATGGTTACACAAAAATGAAACAAGTGTACCTTGTTGTTGAGCTGTAAATGGTGCTTGACTATATTGATCAGTTTCATTTTCCATAGGATAATTTGGATACTGATTTACACCAGGATCCGACTCAAAAGTGGACGCGAATGCAGCTTCAGCGCCAATTTTATATCTTTTCCATGCAAAGAAAGCACATCCTGCCTAAAATTTAAATGCGTCAGAAATAACTTATAAGATTAATATGGACATTGTATCGAATTAATAAGTCAATATAACTTACCCATGTGAAAATGGAGAAAAATGAGAATGCTATTGCAGCTTGGACATTACTTACACCATAACCGGAAGGCGGTGGTGTTGACGAACTCCATTGAGACCATAAATAGACAAAAACTATGAAAAATTTAAATGCCCAAAAAGCAGAAAATCCTAAATCAGCTAATACATAATGCTTCCTACTTTTCACAGAAGACATTTGTTCAAATAAATATTCCCCAACAATAAAAGCCATTGAAGCTAAAAAACCAATAACACCAATAGTTGTACCATATTTACATGCCATTGCGTCTTCATTATATAAGCAAACTTCTTTATTATCCTTTATTTGCCAACCTTGAGATGATATGCAGCCAAAAACAACTATTGAAAATAACTGCAAAATAATGTATACTTAAAGATCAAGGCATAAGGCGCAATATTAATATTAAAATGACTAACATAATGATTAATTGAATGAAATATACAAGTTATACAGGCAGAGAAAATAAAATATTCCAATTTCCCTAGAAACCAAGTCCCTAGCAATTTTCCTAGATTCTTAATCGCTTGGTTAACGTAATGGGAAAGATATAAAATTCTAAAGGAATAGGTAAGAATTTTAATTTGAGAAAATGTACTAGGAGGACAATAAGAAAATTTGCCAAATCTGCCATAGAGAAATTTAGCTGCTAAAATTTCTCCTAAAAATCATTTGAGGGGGCACTTTAATAGGAAAATCAGAAGAGGCTCTCGTAACTTGAATTGAATTTGCTCGTTTTCAAATATGTATGTTGCGTAAAGTTTCGAGTAATTATTCATGGTTCTCCACTTATACATACATCTTACTTTTTTATGCGTTTCTCAATGAACTTGCAATGTAAATATAATATTTACATAAAAAAATAATTGAACGTATTACTATAAGTACATAGAATATGTAAGTATTATTACGTACTAAATTATAGTTGCACAAGTTATTTCTATCTAATGCTATTGCAGTTCACATCAAACTTAATCATCAGATGCAGGTACATAGTATGAAATTTAAATACAAATTCAGCATCTTAATTGTACGTTAACTATCTTCCAATTTTGAATATTTATACAGATATCAAATAAAAAATAGGGCTATTACTTAATTTACAAAAAAAATCGTATTATACAAATAATGTTGACTTCATACATATGTAAGAAGTGATATGTACATATGTACATATATACATATACTACGAAATGACTATTTATCTACTTTAGTTTTGCATCTTAAAATTTACTCTTCCTCCTACGCAGTAAAATCTCTATCGTTTTCCATATTTTAAATAAGTATTAATGTTTATGTATTTTTATACATAATGTTTTACGTGCTATGGATTTATATAATATGTATGTAAATAGGACCTGCATGTATATTAAAATGCTACAAATATACGAAAAAACTAACATATCGTCGGCTGTATGCTTGTCGGCCGCATACGCCAAGCACTGTAAACCGAGAAAATTGAAAAAGAAAGTTTGACAAAGAATTAAAGAAAAACTGGGCGCTGGGATTTTTTTATATTTTATATACAAAATAGTACTTTTATTTTTAGTTTTAATTCAAAATTTCAGTTTGCGGACTCTTACGGTTCTTGAAATATTGCAACTTTTGTAAGACCAGTCGTTTTGGCCTTTGCTGCATATTCCATGATCTTGTGCAAATTTGAAATTTTATGTTGTTATGGAGCTTTGCGTTATATTTTTAAGGGAAAAACTATATTACTATGAAGCAAACAAAAATTTTCAAAAAATTATCAAATTAACTAAGGGAATGTATGAAGTGGAGCAAAAAAGAAATTAAATTAACATGCAAAACAACAACAAATTTATTATTAAATATTAAAAAAAAAATTTTAAGCATTTAGTACTGAAATATATAAAGTAAAACAAGTTATTTAAGTAATGTTTTTAAAAATTTTTATTGAAATTATTAAATTCCGAAAATTTCATAACAAAAATAATAAGAGTATACTACCATGATGAAAAAAAATTATACTACCATGATGAAAAAATAACAACTCAAACAAAACTATTGGCCTCTGCATTTACAAAATCATTTATTGTACTTTGTTTATATTTTCAATACTATAATATAAAAATATTTAAATTCTTCTTATAATCTATACAGGAATTGTTTTCAAAATAAAAATTAATAACTTCTTACAAAAAATTAACAGCTTTTTCGTAGCTTAAGTTTTAGGAATTAATTATTGTACTTTGTTTCATTTTTAAATGCTTTCGTAGAATATATATTTTGCTTTTGTAAATGGTATAGCCGAGTAATTTAATTGGGATGCCATTGCTGAGTAGTTTTTAAAGTCGGTATCTAACATTTGAACTACATCGAGCTTGACTTTAGGCATTTGCATGTTTTTTAATAATTTTATTAAGTGCAGAGGGCTATGTATCTCCAAATTTTTCAAGTACTTTTCAATAACTGAATGAACACAGTCAACCTCCTGAATTTCGGAATGCCCTGGTTCAGAATATTTATGTAAAATTTCTTTGATATTTAAAGATGAATTTATAAAATACTTTATACATGTTGCATTAATTTTATTTTTGTTCTGGGGTACACAACTATCACTCCATAAAGTTATTCTCGTTAAATTTGGATTTGCTTGGCATACTTTATTTAAAATTTTGGCTAAAGCACTGCAAATGTCATTTCCAGTTCTTCCACTATTGGCTTCTGACCAAACTACACAATATGTTAGCTTTTCTTTATTTAGAATCATCGCAGTGTCAGTTAAATTAAAAACATTTAACTTTCTTTTGTAAAAAAATGCAGACGCATATCCTTTTGGTAAGGCAAAAACATTTTGCAAATCATAGCATATGATGCAATGATTTGGATTTATGTTGCTTCGATCTACGTCTTTGTCTTAAGTTTTTTTCATGTGTATGCCTTTCCATTTCTTTTGTTTTTTCAACAGTATGTGTGTTGCTATTTTTTGTATGTTTGTTGTATTGTGATGTTTTTTTCCAATGTCTATGCAGCAAAATAAAATTTTTTATAATTTTGAATTTTAATGCTCTATCACGCAGTACTATGTAAATAGAGCACACAAGAAAAACGTAAAAATGTTCTCATTTTTCCATACAAATTGTGCCGCAACAACCAAAAAATGGTTCATGGAGCACATAAGCATTAGAAATTCGTGAAAATGCAGTCTATGGAGCAAACCTGACACTCTGTATCTCAGCAGCAGATCGAGATAGAGAAAAACGGATTAGACAGACAGAAAGAGCATCATTTAAAACCTATAGATGCACTCATAAGTCAAAAAGTGCAAAAGTGGCGTATGGAGCCGATAAGCATACAGCCGACGATATTACTCATTATATTTGTATAGTATGTATGGATGCATATATGTATATAGATATTGTAATATTAATGGAAAATATATGTATGTACATAGCTATTACATGTGCAAATATCAATAGTTTGATTATTTTAAATATTTTTTTAGCAATATAATATATGTGCATACATATATACATATATATATATATATACATAGGTATGTACAATTAAATTATTTTTTTAAAACATCTTTATTATTTTTTATAAGAACATGCATAAGTCCTTTTTTAAAAACGATTTCAAAAATTTACCTATTAAGCATAAGCATTGTTTAAATAAAATAAGAAAAATCGATAGAAGGACTTCCAAAATTTATGTATGTCCTTTAAAATTTATAATTTCAAAAATCTTACCCAACATAAAGCACGTAAAATAACTTGAGGTCTTTGAATGAACGCTAGAGGATCAAAGGCTCCACCAGCTTTTCCTCCACCATAAGCACCACCTTCCATCATTTTCTTTTTATCAAAGAAAAAATGCTTTTATTTTTTTATGTAAAATATATTATGTATATTATGTATATATGTAATTTAGGTATATTGCATGAAACAAAAATTATTTTTTATTTCAATTTTTTCAATTATTTCATAAATTTCTAAAAAATATATTTTTCCATTTTATTTTTCTTTTAATTAATAAAATAATTTATATTTTTTTATTTTCAAACTTTATGTTAATGTCTATTTTGTAATTTCACTCCTTGGTTTTTAAAATAAAATTAAAATTTTGCAAAAATTCCGATTGAGTAAAATATCTAGAAAAATACTGTTATAGCTGTACATACACATGCTTTGACAAAACTAATTATTTTCTGAGAGCTGTGTTATCCTTTTTGCTCTTTTTTAAGTTTTCTCAATTCTCATATTTCATTGAATCCTGAAAGCTTCCAAGTTCCAAAATTCCAATACATAACAAAACTAAAATATATACAGTGATTAACGTTAGCCCTTGTACTTCCAGTGTTGTACTTTTTAGGAAAATAAAGCAGATTTTTTTAAATTTCAAATTGTATTACATTATATATATATGTATGTATATTCTTTTCTTATAAGTACAGGTTAATCTTTTTGTGGGGCTAAGTTTCTTGGAAAATGCAGAAATAATTTGAAATTGGATGTTATTTCTAACTATTCAAATAAAAAGATCTATAGAAAAAGCTAGGCAAAAGATGTCGAGTTATGCAGGTTCACTACACTACACCTTAAGTTAAATACAAAAACAAGAGCGATAATCCGCGGCAAAATATCAAAATTCATATAGAAATGGAAACAACATATTTAAATGGATATTTCCATAATCAAGCGAAACTATCTTCGCAAATTTTATCGCCGACAGTCTTTTGACATTAAAATTTGACATATACGCAATTAAATTTATACACCGCGTGATCTGAAATGGTACGGCGCGTACCATTTTTTATATGTCTTAGCTTATAATTTGAATATTACATTAAAAGAGTTTCAAATTTCAATTGTATATAAATATATAAGGAGCTTCACGTAAATTGTAATTGATTCCAATTTATAAATTGTATATAATTCCAATTAAACTAATAAAATGCGTATTAGTTTAATTGTAGTGTATTAGTAGTCATATTTTAATTTTGACATATTACTATTTGTTTATAATTTTGCTTTGCATCAAGAACAAAGTTTACATTTGTTTAAACTGTTTGGTTATGTTGAAAATCCCTGCAACTTTTTAATTTAAAAATATCGATACTCGATTCTCGAGTATTGAAAAAATTGTATCGCTTGTAATTTTTCAAACATTTAAAATTTTAAAATCCAAGACATCCATGTTGATTAAGTTAGAGAAAGTGTATAATATTAAATTTTTGTGTTTGTGTGTTAAATTAATTAAAATTAATAAAATTTAATAATTTCAAGTTGATACCATCTTGCAAGTAAGAATTAGGAACATTAAGTAAGTATTAGGAACTATATTTGGTCATGGACAATGCGGAAGTTAATCGTACGGAACATTCAATTGAATTAGAGAGCCAAACTCAGCAGTAAGTTAAATTCTCAAAATTAAAAATCAACAAAATATAGTATTTAAATAAATTTTTAATATAGTATATAAGAAATTAAAATACTTAGAATATACATACATATGTAAGTAGTTCATTTCTATCTTGAATAGGTTTCATTACAATGCATTATAATGTATTATTATGAATTGTCTATCTTGGACAGAACTGTAGTATTCATACATACGAACATACATGCATTTATGAATATTTACATATAAATGAACATAGTCACATCATATGCATGTATAAAAATAATTAAAATTATCAAAATTTTTGCTTTTGGTTTATGTAAGTACATATGTTATATATGTATGTACTGTAGTATTACTGTAGTAATATATGTATATGTACTTACATATACATATATTTACATACAACATATGTTACGTATGCACATCTGGACATATGAAATAATAATATGGTTTGTATCAGCATTTAAGTAAATCGTACAAGCCAAGTTCCTTGAAAATGATGAATGTCAAAATTTTGTTATTAAAATTTTCTTTTATTCTCTTAAATCTCTCATTAAATTTCTTTCAAAAAGCTAGTGAGCCCAACCATGACAGCCCCTCGACAGAATTATGTTTTGTTACAATAGATTTTTAAATAAAATATTTGAAAACCAGCTACTTACCTACCTAAATATGTAAGTGTTACTATGGTATTTCATGGCAAAACATTTTAAATTTAGTTTTGCTTAATTCTTCGATTTGTAACTTGTGAAAAAGTATTATAGACAGTATTAATCGTCAAATTTTCCGGAATCGCAGTGGGAAACCTTTTTGATCAACTGAGTATAGTTAATTAGGTATATAGCATCTACCTATACTCGCTCATTACTAAATAAAAGCACGTTAGGATTTACTTTGTATATTCAAACCTGTAGATATTTGTTTACTACCGCTATTGAAAATGTGTAAAAATATTTTTATGACATTGTTACATATTTATAACATGGATAGATATATAAATCATATAAAATAAACAAAACTATGTGCACATTAACAAAAATATTTTAAAATATTTTAAAAATTAACATTTTCATTTATTTTCAGTATTCAAACGAATGAATCCCGAGATATGACAATGGATAGTTCATGTAAGTATGCTGAGAACCTTTTATAAATAGAAAATTTCAAATATTCACCTTCAAATACGAAACTTTTTTTTTTTAAGATGGTATTGGATATCGCTCCCCATGCATTCGAATGTCTTCTCCTGGTCAAGGACGAACTGTAAGAGAATATGAAGAACAAATGGATGCATTGAGAAAAGAAAACTTCAATTTAAAACTTAAAATATATGTTTTGGAAGAAAAATTGCCTTCAGTTGGGGAAGTCAGTACGCCGGAAGGACAAGAATCGTTAATGAAACAATATGTTGAAAATAAAGTAAGTACTTTGAGTAAAAAAAAATAATTTTGATTTGGTTTTTTTCAATTCTGCGTATAGTATATATACGTAAGCCGAATCGAAACTAAAATTGGTTTTTGTTTTTTTCAGGTAGACACAGAAATTTTAAAAAATGATTTAGAAGAGAAAAAGGAACTATTACGTGAAGCCGCGGCTGCCATAAACCATTTGGAGAATATGCTTAAAGAGGCAGATAAAAGAAATCTACAAATAGTAGATGAACTTAAGCACAGAATTCAATATTTGGAACACGAAAATAAAATGTTAAATAAGAGCAATAAAAATAATAGTAAAAATTTTATTTCTGATGACGAAGATTCAAAAACAACCGATAATATTTTAAAAGTAATATTTTTTTTTAATTTTCTTTCTTTAATATAAGTAATTAATATTTTTCAGGTCCAAGAATTGGAAATTTCCGCTAAAAATTCTGAAGAGAAAGCTAAAGAACTTTCAATTCAAATGGAGAATTTGAAGGAAGAAATTTTTGAAAAAAATAGTACTTTAGAAGAATATAAAAACTCAAATCAAAAACTAAAATTGGAAGTTTCTGATTTAAAAGAAGCTGTAGAAATTAAAGAAAAAATGATCAAATCAAATGATGTCAGTTTTAAGTAGTTTTATAAAATACAATCTTATAAGCATTGAATATTTGTTCGTTTCAGGCTAAAATAATACAGAATAAACTAGATAAATGTAGGTCAGAATTAGCCGATAAAATATGTGAGTTAGACGAGCTGCAAGAAAAATTTGCCAAGCAAAGCGAAGAGTATGAAAAGGCTTTAAAATATATCGAAAAGTTAATTAAAGTAACAACGGCTTTGCAATCGGAAGTTGAAGAATTAAAAAAAGTAAGTTTACTACTACGAATTGAAATCAAACAAATATAATTTTTTTTTTTTGAAGGATTTGGATAAGGAAAATAAAAGCAACATTTCAAACAAAAATTTTTCTCGTTCAAGTGATAAAAAAATGCAAAATAAAATTGAAGCTCTTTCAAAACAACTAGTAACTGTTACTGAAGAAATTCAAGATAAAAATATACTTCTTGAAAAATTTAAACTCGATGCTGAACTAGCACGAAACGAAACAGAAAGAGCTTATAAAATAAATAAAGAATGTAATGAAGTGTGCAACATTTTAACTGTAAGATTAGAAGAATTGGCGGGCTTTTTAGACTCGCTTCTTAAACAAAAAGATATACTAAATATGATTGCACCGGATAAAAAAAGAGAAATTCAAGATGCGGTAAATAAATCTTTAGATTTATCCCGCAGTCTTACAGCTGAATCCTTATCTATAACTAATTTGTCATTCGATGAAACAAACTTAGCACAATTAAGTAATTTAACTGGAATATTGGAAAATTCTCATATAGCAGATAAATTAAACATTTCCAAAGATAAACACATGTTCGAATTAAAACGTAAATTGGAATCACTTAGAGAAAAGAGAGTGACAACATCTTTTACTAAATTAGAAACAAAAATCATAAATAAAAATAACATTAGTTTACCTATAGCTACATCTGAGCAGTCTGAGTTTGAAGTTTGGTCTGAGTCTCATAGAAATGTGTCTTTTGTTCGAACTGGATTAACTCATCCTATCAAGTTACACGATTCCAAAACTCAAATTCAGAATGAAAGTGAGAGCGCCTGTTTGAAGCACAACTCTAACAATACTTTGCCAATTAGTGATATAGAAAATAAAGTTAATGATAATGCCGCACAATATGAAAAAATTATAGCTGACAAAGATAATAAAATTCTAGAAATTCAGTGCCAACTAGTAGAAACTGATAATAGTTTGAAAAAGCAAAGCATTTTATTAGCAGAAACAATAAGCGAACTCGAAAGAAACAGCGATAGAATGAGAGGTTTAGAAATAGAACTCGAAACTTTTAAAAGTAGTGTTTGTGTATTAAAAGCTAACGAGAAAAGTTTGAAACAAGAATTGGAGACAATGAATGATCAGTTTAAGAAAATACAAGAAGAAAGGGATAAATTATCTGAAAAGCTCGTTGAATCAGACTTATTAGTAAAAAAACTGAAGGTCGAAGCAGAAGAAGCTGCACGAATATATGAGGAAAATTTAGAGAGAGTTAAACAAGATGAAAGTAGCCGCTTTAAAGAACTACAACTTGAATATCAAGAAAAAATAAATGAGAAATTGCACGAACTGAAATTTCAATATGAAGAAACACTAAATAAAGATTGGGTTCAAAAAGCAGAGTATATACAACTTTTAGAACGAACAAAGGTTTTAGAATCGAATCTAAAAAATTACCAAGATTTATCTCAAAAATTAAAGGAATCTGAGTTAAACTTTAAAGAAAAATTACTAAAAAGTGAAGATATTATTAAAAATTTAGAAGAAAATGTAAACGAACACTTGTTCGCACTATCCAATTCCACACTCGAGAAAAATAAAATAAACAACGAAAAAATAAATTTAGAAAAATACGTTCAAGAATTATTGGAAAGTTGTAAAACGTTACGGAATGAAAATAATCTACTAATTGACCAAGTTAATTTATTTTTAAATAAACAATGTGGAATACAAAGTAATGAAGAAAATATTGGTACAGATTTTGAAGAAAATCGAAGGCTAGAAATTATTTCCCCAGATCTAGGAATCGAAAGTGATACTGGGCGTACTGCGAATGATGATGTAAATGAGACTAACAAACAAAAAAATGAACAAACAACAAGTACGTATACATTTTATATTTTGTATATTTTTCAATAATAATTTTTATTAATGAATCCTTTTTAAAATTTTAGCGAATAAGGTGGTAAAAGGAATTGAAAGTAATAACAGCAATAAAAACGAAAATGGTGCGAATATTTGTGATTCAAAACTTCCAACTGGTCATAAGTGTCAAGAAATTTATAAGGAAAATCTGAAATTACGTGAGAAATATAAGCTTGTTGCTAAAATGAATAAAGATATGTTAAAAATAATAAAGAAGAAACATGACAACATGGAGCAATTTGAACGTAATATTATGATTCAAATCCAAAAAACTAATGTAGTTTTAGAATATGCTCGAAATAATTTTACAAATAATGCAAAACATAATAATAGCGAGAATTGAAATATAGAGCCAAAATTAAATAGGAAAATATAAATTTACGCAAATTTTTATTTACAAATGAGTATTAGAAATTTTAGCAATTTTTTTTAAAGAAAGAATTAATTTAACAAATAATTTACATACTTCAAATTTTTTTATATTAATATTGAAGACCCACAACATTCATACACGTACTTAATAGTTTTTATAAAAAATTTGCTTTATTTTAGATTAAGAATTATTTTAGATTTTATTAATTTTATTTTTCAAAAAATATTCTTTAATTTTAAAATAAAAATTTTTTCTTTAAATGAATGCTGAAAAATGGGTTCTACTTAAAACAAATATTCACTTAATAAAATGTAGAAATAATAAATAAATCATAACATACTATATTTAATAAACATTTTGAAGTACATTTAATTTAAATTTAAAATTATTCTGGGTTTTTTTTCTATTGAAGAAAGTTGTACTTAATTAAAATTTTGATAAAATTTTATAAGATACAAATAAAAATATTTTAAAATTAAATATAAAGAAAGTATTTAATTATTTGTAAAGTACGTTGCTCTTAAAAATTTTTTTCTTGTTTAGATTAAGATAAAAAACTCGCAACACTTTGAATATAAACTAAAACATTTTGTATATAATTTCCGACATCAAACTGAAATTTTGATTATAAATTTCTAATTATATGATTTCTAATTATATGAAATATGCACTAAGCATTGAGTTAGGTTAAATTGAAACGATAGTTGTCTTATAATTTTTTACTAAAGCTCATAATATAATAAACTAACTTATAATGGGTCAACATGCTAAAAGGTTTGTTGCCTAATATTTTTTATGTATTTGTAGTTAACATGAAAAGTATCAGGAGATATAAATTGTAGACTAGAAACTATAGAAAATTTTCAAAATTTAATTGAAATATATTTTCGGTTGTGTATGTGTACTTATGGTTGAGCATATTTTTAATGTTTACATATTGTTTCATACGGCGTACATAAAATTCTTTATGGGTTTCTTTATTCATGTAATTCGTATGAATTATCCTTTTTTCATAATACAATATTTCCGATATAAAAACATATTTGCAATATATACAAAGGTTCTATTCATAGCGATATTATTGTCGGTGAAAATATAATTATTCAATTATAATTACCCAAAAATTATATGTATACTGTGATATGTCATATTACAATACAGAAAATATATTCACTGCACATGTTTAACATGGAATATAAATATGTACTAAGTAATTATTAATTTTACTGAATTACATTCAATACGTTGACAATGTTCACATAAGGACTATATTTAGATTGTGGATATATGAAATTATTCTGTATAAACGAAAGCAAAAAACAAATTCATTTGTGATTGTTGGAATCTTAAAGTGTAAAAAATTTCTAGTTTGGCATGCGATGCTTTTGATTATGTATATTTCTATTTTTACTTTGCTGCTCAGTGTAAAAAGAATATAGTACATATATACGTATTATGTAGGTACAACTTGCGTATTATTTCCATTACGCTCTTTTCACTGTAAAAATATGGTGTTTCACGTATTATTTATTTTTTGGTTAATAATTTGTTCTCGCCGTGTTACTCATTTTATTGTCTTTACAATAAATTGGACAGGTAATATTTTTGTTCTAGTTTTTTCTGTTATTTCCTGATTATTTATTATGATCTATGTATACATGTACATATGAATAAAAATATATAACTTAATTTTATTATTTTATTTATATACGAACCTGTTGCCCTCAGTTATTATAAGTATATCTATATGTATATGCTTTTTATAATTAATATGCATTTTACCAATAAATACTTATTGCAATTGAAATCAAGGAAAATATTTTTATTATAGGTAAATTATGTATGTACATATGCTTATTAAATGAAATATTAAATATTGCGCTGTGATAATGAAATTTAATTCTGATTCCCTATTCCTTAAAGAAATTTTTAAGTTGTCTTAAAAATAAATAAATAAAATTAAGTATTAAGGGATTGATATATAAATCTATATATGTACATTATTTTCATTATCTGTAAGTGTAAGAGTTTTTACTGTTTTGTTTTCAACTTATTCAAACCAAAATTAATACCACAAATATGTTAATGCAAAAGTTTCAAATTTGATATTTATATTACGAAATATATTTGTTTTTTAAAAATCTCAATTTGCAGTTTCTATACGCGTAGTGACGTTCCTGAAGTCTAAGAACAAAATTTCCTGAAATTGAAATTTTTATTTAAAATTATTTTAATTTAAATTTAACTAGGAATGAAACAATAAAAAACTCTCAGTTCTATACACATAAAATTTCACATTTTTTAAGTTGAATGTGGACATGTATAACAAGAAATTAATTATGTTATTACATTGTGTGCTATTTGTGATATAAAGTGCACATATATTCGAATTACATATAACTGGCTTTATATAAATTTTAATGACTGCGAAGAATGAAAAAAAAATCTTAATAAGTTTTTTCAATAAATTTTTGTTTTATTAATAAGTTAATTTACATAATATATTTTTAATTCAATTTTTATTTTTTCCTCTAATTAACATACTTTTAACTTAAATATAATTTATATATGTAAGTATTTTTGTTTCTTTCTACATATTTAAAATTAACTAATTTGAAAATCTACTTTTTCTAACATTGTGTTTTTGTTTCTTGTTGTTTCCTTTTAGAACCCTTAATATTTTTTTGTCAAGGTATGTAAATATATGTATATATATATATTTTTTTATTTAACAATTAATTGTTAATTTGAAGTATCTATAAATTACTTTTAATTTCTATATTAACTTTATTTCCATTGTCATTGTTATATCGTTGAAAAAAGTTTAAATTCATTTTGTGTTATATAGCTAATTTACATTGTATTTTCGTTTATGATTAGTTTTACGTTGTGACATTATTTTTAATTTAGTAAATTGTGACATTTAATACATATATATTTTTATTTTGTCTTTAACAAATTTAAAACAGGTTTTTTGTGGAACTATGTTAATTAACATAGATATAATTACAATATTATAAACATTTGTGTATGTGTAGACTATGATTTCACTATTATTCAAACGAAAATGTTTGGGATTATTATTTAATGAATTTTCTTTTTAAAATATTAAATTTCCTTGAATTGTTTTCGTAGTTAAAATTTTTTAATTTAAAATTTGAAGAATCTGTTCAATTATAGTTTTGTTTAGAATTTTTGTGAAAAATAAATGATGAGAATTAATAAAATATTTGAAAATTGCTTATCAAAATGGAATAATTTTAAAACGAATTTCGCTTAAAATTAGTTATATACATACATAATAGGCACGTTGACTTTTCTAAATTTAGTTTAAATTAGTTTAAACCTTTTAATAAATTAAGCACCTTGTAAAAAAGCGCTAGCAGGTAATTTATTTAGTATCGCCATTGGCCATTATTAATTCGCATAAATGCCACAAATTACGAAAAGTATTATGAATGTAAAATACATTTATTATTTATTTGACATAAATTAATTCTCGCGTATATTTTTATTTCTCAATTTCAAATCTTAAGTATCTAAATTAAAAAGTACAAAAACAAATAATAGCTTTTTATGTTTTAGGATAATGAAAAATTAAATTTTCTATAAACGTTGTTAGATTTTGAACAAATATCACTTTTATGATTTTTAAAGTTTCACGAATAAATTTTCTTTATTTTGATATTTTATTTTTAAGTTATTACATATTTTATATAAGAATATAAAGGCACAGTCTAATATTTTCTTGTTTTCTATTTTGTTCAGTACAAAATAGCAATCATATGAATTTAAATCTGTATTATATTTTTTAATTAGAACATTATTTTACATATTATTACATTATAATGTACATTAAAATATTACAATCTTTATATAAAATAAATTATAATACAAATTTTAAATGTGTTTTAAAATAATAAGAGGGTTAAAATTAAACTATAATGCAAAAAAGATATTAAATATATTTTTATCAAAAAAAAATGCTCTATTGGAAGAGTATACTTTTTGAAACCGATTTTCAGCTACCAAAAGCGCAAAGAAAAAAAAAAAAACTATTTTTATTTTGCATTTTTTATGCTAATTGACTTGATTTGTTTCGTTCATGTAAAGACTATTAAAAAAGAAATATTATTTGTTGGAGGTTTTTTGGTTTCTCACATTATAACGCGTACTTATAGTTAACAATATTATATGCAATTTAAAAAATTCATAATTCAAAAAATTATTTTTTTTTTCTGTTTTAGAAAAATGCAAAAAAAAAATTACTATATAAACTTTAATGTATTCAAATGTGAATTATAATTAGAAGAGTTGTAGATTTATCCTGTAACATACAATTAAACTATATAATATAGGTTCTACAAATTCTAATTAAATTGTTCATATATTAAAGTTTAAGAAATATTTAAACTTCTAAATAATATTCAATACCACTATTTTGTTTTTTTTTATTTTCAAGTTAAAGAAATAAATTTTCTAAAATAGGGTTAATAAATTTGCTACCAGCTTTAAGTAATTAAAAGTAGTTAGGTATTTTGCAAATGTATTTTTAATCGGTCTTCTATATAATAAAAAATTTAAATTAGAGATCATTAAAAAATTTTTATTCCAGTACCCCTACGTGTACTTTATATACTTTTTTACTTTTCTAGCAACTTTATACTGGTAACACAGTTAACAATAAAGCTTAATGCTTCATAAGCTGTAAAAAATTTGTAGAAGAAATATAAGAAAATATGTAGCACAAATGATTTTACGTTATTTAAATTTATTTTAATTTTAAACGTTTGCTAAATCAATTTGATTTCAACTAATTTTTTTTTTGTGGTACTTTAACTACTTTAAGAATTAAACTGGTAATTTACTAATTAATACGTATGAGTTTAGTTATTACACATTTTTTGTGAAAAATTTGTTAAATAATTGTATTAAATCAAAAGGTCTTAATCAATATTTTTGTCAGTTTTACAATATCTTTTACAGATTAGCATTAATTTTTTTTTGCTTTAATGATTATGTCGAAGATATGGAATGTTTTTTTTTTATTTTTTTCTGAATTCTTTTTTTTGATACTTTAAGAAAAACAAAAATATTTTCTTTTATCTTTACAAAACGTTTTCGAAAAGTAAATGCTAATAATTTTTTTTTTGATATTAAGAATAAAATTGTTTTTTTTTTTTTCTTATTATTCTTATAGGTTAATATTCCTTTTTTTCATTTCTCTACACACGCTTAATAAGTTTTTGAAAATAGCATTTTTAATTTTTAGATTCTGAAATATTAAATTGCTCTTTTATTAATTTCTATTTTGAGGGTGAAGGTGGGCGATCGGATAACTGGGTCTGTTGATGTGACTGTTGTTGTTGAGACGATGATTGCGGCTGTTGTGGTTGTTGTTGCTTGTTACTGCTACTACTGCTGTGTCGAGGTGTTACGGGTGATTTTTGGTTAGGCATTTTACTTCGCAACATTTGTTCATGCACATATAGGAGAAGACCAATGTCTCTATGACCAGCTTGCCATGCTATCTTAAAAGCTGTACTACCATCCTAAAAAATGTAAATAAAAACATTATTTCTCACGTGGCTCTTAATAAAAATTAATTTCACTGTCAAAAAGGTGACTTGAATAAGTACTGCTTATAAATATAATGTATTTGTAATTTAAAATTAAACATTTATAATTTTTATATAAAATTGTGTTACATAATCTATAGCTACAATCTGTTACATATGTGTATCGAATTTATGTAATTTTATATTTAAATTGCAAAATTTTTCTGCTTTAAGAAGTGGTTCCTCAAAATGTATGACTGAATTATTTAAGGGATCCTGGATTTTTAAACAATCATATTATACTTTACTATTTTAATTCAATAAGTCTTTTTAGAAACGAATAGCATAAAAAGGAAAACTAATTACCACATCCTGTATTAAAGAATCACAATCTGATTGAGATAACAAATATTTAACAATATCAATTCTTCCATGCTCTGCAGCACACATCAAAGAAGTACTACCATCTTCATCTTGAATATTGATATCAGCACCAGCTTCTAATAACATTTCAACCATATCAAGGTTGCCATGTGAAACAGCTAACATTAGTGCGGTTTGGCAATGCTTTAAAATTTAATAATATAATTTATAACTTAATTTATGTGCTCTGCTATTATTTTAATTGTTTATGTACATATATAAAAGAAAAAAAGAAGTTATACTTTTTTTTTACCTTTTTAGCTCTTATATTAACATCAGCCATCTGAAATAATCGTTGAACGACTGTTCGATGGGCAGAGTTTTTCAATTTTGCTAAAGAGACAAGCATTACACATGTATATCCAGCGTTATTCATTTGGTTTACATTGCAAACCTTAGAATCCAGCAATATAGATACAATATCGAAATTCCCGTGGGAAACCGCATAATGCATTGCTGTATTGCCCTAAAAGGTAAAGATTATTTTTTGTAATGAATACATTAAGCAAGCATTTTTTCTTTGGGAGGAACACTTACATTTACATCAGTTAAATTTACCATGTATTTGAGCAATAACATTGAATAATCTTCAAAACAATCTAAATAATCTTCAACGTTAAGAGGATTCGCTTTGTCGACACTAGAAATTTTAAACCATTCCTTTTGTACTATTGCATTAGCATTTTTAAGATTATTTGATTTTGAAGTTGATTTTTGTAATGAATCATTAATAACTTTAAGGGCTGCTTTCATTTCTTTAGAAGGTGAGGCTCTGAAAAGAAAATTTGCATTAAAAATACTATAAAAGGTATATTAAAAACGAAAATATAATAATTGTGATTACTTTTCTCTTGGCTCTGCTGAGGCCGTTGCTATTTGATTTAGTAATATATTTTGCATGGCTCTTGAAGTTGCTTCTCGACTAGTTTCGGGATATATTCTTTTATCAGATTTTTTTTCAAAGATGTCAGCATTCTTATTTGAAACTGATTGAGATACCGATGGCTCTCCAATAGAAATGATTTCCTTTTTTTGACTATCAATATTCTCAGGAATAGATGAGCGGTCTTTTTCCTTATTTGTGTTATCGATTAGTTTATCAGAATCCTTTCTAGCCTGTGACACTGAAAAACTTGTAGAAGGTTGATTGATTTCTCCTGTTCTATTTCGAATTGGTGACTGACTTAGACGTGACGCTGTTACTGGTTCAATTGATTTAATTTCTTGGGCAATTTTTGCGAAATCACTTTTTGTTGGAGAGCTTGATAATGAACTACCATCATTATCAGCGTTTCTGCGTTTTACTATGGTTGTCTTTGTTATTCTGGTAGTTTTGATTACAGAATCCAGACTGGTTGGAAATGGTTCTTCACTTGCAGTTTGTGTAGCACTAAATATTTTATCAAAATTATATAGGTATATACATATATCTTAATTATAAAATAAAACGGTTTTAACAAAATTGATTTCGTTTTTTCAGTTTTTTCCAGTTTTGTTTCTTTTTTTGTAAAATGTAAAAAAAATTAGCGAAGCTTTTATTAATAGTATTCTAAAAATAAAAAAGAATAACTAAAATCGCGTTAAGCAAAAAAGTAACTTTAAATTGTCTATGAGTTGATTTTGTACAAGTAGTTGATTGAACGACTGCTATAACAGTTATGAAAAATTTTTGCTAATGTTCTTTATTTAGAAACAAAAACCAGAATGTACATATACTGTGTATATGCGCATTAAACATTTCTCTACTCTCTACATTTGTAATAAAGATGGGTACATTTGGTCGATCGGGATACAAGACGAAGAAATCTTAAAAGAGAACTCCTGAATACCCTCGCATGCATAAAATGTATATTATAAATATACGTTAGAATATGAAATCTCATTCCTGGGAAATAGTTATTGTCAAATTTACTGACGTTCCGTATCTTACCCTACTAAAATAAGTGTAACAATTATTTTCATATGTAAGAGTATAGAAAAGCATTTTGGCGCCTTTTAAACATCTTTTTTGCGCAATCTCTACTCCAAGTCGTTTTTGTTTATTCTTGTATATATTTTTTATTAATAAATTCGTATTAATAAGGTAAAACGACTATACATTGCATGATTATGTTAGAAGCTGCCTGTTCTTCAACTGAAAAATTGACTTTTGCAAGAACTATTTTATGTAAGTATGTTAATACTTATTTGTATTTAAATACAAGTTGAAGTAAAAAAAATTTTACCTTTTTGCTTCACTTGGTTTTTCTTCTGGAGATGGTAATGTATATGTATTCTGTCTGACAATTTTCTTTCTTGTCGAATTAGGACTAGGTAGTGTAGTTGGTCTTGGAATTTTTGATTGTTCTGATGGTGGTGACAATGAACCACCTCCAATTGGTGTTAATGGCACGGAAGTTAATGTTAATGCTTTTGAAAATTCCTTAGCCAAATTTTTAATGGCATCTTTACATGAATCACAATAGTTATCAGCACACGCGATATGAATATGAGGTTTAATTATATCACCGCAAGCAATATCTCTTTTACGCACATCATCAGTATTTGAAGATGAATTTTTAGTTATTTTAATTGCTGATACATCTGGAAGTGTATTTGTTTCATTATCACGAGTTCGCATTCGTTCAGTATTAATTCCGTTTTCTCGCGTTCTTAAAATTTTAGTATTCATCCAATTTTCTCTTGTTCTTACTATATCAGTATTTGTTCCCAATTCTTTTGTGACTAATGATTCAGTATTACACCCACTCGTATTCATTATTGGTGGTGTTTTTTCTTCTATAATGTCTGTATTTGTATAAGATGAAATTAAACGAATTAAATCTCTTGTATCAGTTTGTTTTGCAGTATTATGCATTAGAACTGAATATTGACAAGATTTATTATGAAATTGTGGTGAATTTTGAATACCAATTGATGATAATTGAATATGACTTTGAGTTCCAATATCGTTGGACAGTTTCTCATATTGAGTTGCAATTGTTTTTCGTTTTATGTTCAATTTTTCGTTTTCACCTAAAGTAAATGTTAAACTTCGAGCACCCAACATTTCCATTTGTTTCATTGCCAAATACTGTTTGCTTTCTTTTTCATCAGGACCACAGCTAACAGTGCGCTTTGGACAGCAACATTTGTCACAAAAAATATCAATAGTTTTATGATCTGAACAACCAATTGATCTAGTATCAGGTTTACACATAACAAATTGATCATGTTGTATAGGTTTGGCCATACAACTTTGCGTAAATTTCATCACTGGCTTTTCAGGACTAGTTTGTATGTAAACACTACATTGTTCGGTTTTTGGAGCTTGAACCATTTGTGTTCCAACCGTGATTTGAGTTCGACGACGTATTCTCTGCTTGCTTTCTTCATGATCAATAAGAGCTCGTTGAATTATATTATCAACATCTTGTTTAGTATAGAGTGCATTTTTAATACCAATAATAATGGTTGGATCAGTTCCTATAGTTCGAGTTGCCATCGAATGTGTAATTGATGTTCCAACATCTCTTTGTGTTGGTTGATGGCACATTGTGGAAGCATCACGTTTTTGAATTTTTCTTAATGGCGGTGTTGGTATTTGTTGTTGCGAAGATTGTTGACTTATTTCAGATGATGACTGTGAACTTGTACGAATTCGTGAACCAAGACTTTCTAACGAAACTGGACTAATTCGTTGAGGTGTAAATTGAGAATTGGTTTTATGAATTGCATTTGTTACATTTGTTGAACTTGTTCGTACTGGTGGTTCTGGTGGTAATTGTTGCAATTGTTTTCTTAATTTAAACTTTTCTTCTTCTTCACGGCGCAATTGAATTTGCAAGTTATATTTTTCATTTTGCAAACTTTCCAATTTTCTCTGAAATTACAATAAAATAATATATTATGTACATTTTGTAAGAAACAATTTTTAAAATATTTTACAGACCTGTAGAGTTGGAATGGCATTTACTTGCTCTTCTAATTCCCGTATCCTTTTAGCATTGTCAGTGAGATGTTGTCGTGAAGCATTATTCATATAATTATTATTTGGGGAATGGTGTTTAACATAGGGTTTCTGATAAAGATATGATAATGAATCATCTAATGCTGCATTATCATTCGAGAATTTCGAATTGATACACGAATCTGAAAATTTTATTTAAATACATTTTATTTAAAATATGTATTCAAATTGAAAATAATATTATAAATATGTATTATACATATGTACATACATACATGTATATATTTTATTTTAAAAATTTCAATTTAATTGCCAAGAAATTTTCAGAAATCTTCATCATATTGTGCGTACACAATAATATTTATTGAAAATCAATGTAATAACCTTGTTTTCGCTGGCATAATTTTATTATTTTATTTTCTATAATAAAAAGTTTAGGATGACGATATGAAGAGTTTAAAAAATTTAACAACTTTCGCTGAGTAAAATATATTAAAAATGATGTAAAAATCAAATAAAAATTTAATTGAGATTTCTAAATTTAATGGAAACAAATTTATGAAATTTTGGAGATTTAGAATTATTTAATACAATTATTTAAGTACTTTAATCTCAACCAAGAAAAAGTATCAATTCGTACAGAATTCGTAAAATTTAAAAATAAATTTGAAAAATTTTTGCTGAATTTATGAACAAAATATACACTAAATTTCAAAACTTTGCGAATTAATCAAAATTTTAATGAATTTTAATAGCTTTGAAAACTTAGTAAGGGTGAATGAATGGAAAAAAAAATATTTTGCTTATATTTGGCTGCAGACATTTAAATCTAATCTAATTAACTAAGTTTCGCTCGCGTTTGTCTTTTTTTTTATTCTCAAGACACATAGTTGTCTAAAAAAAAAAATCATCTTTTATATAAAAAATCATATTTTTTGAATGTACTTCCAAAAATAAATAACTGCGAAACTTAACTGCGAAATAAAATTCTTTATTATCTTAGAAATTTTGTAGTTCATTTTAAATTAACATTTACGATATTCTATGACTTACCAAATTGTAAAAACAATTTTAATCCCTTCGTTAATTTCCCCATATTTTAATTTTTTTTTTTTATTAAATATTAACCCATAGACTTATGTACATATACTCAATATATACGAATATTTGTGCCATTTACATTTATGTACATATTAATTTCCAACTTATGATTAAAATTAAATTTAAATAAAATTCGTTTCGCTGCACTAATATTGTAAAGCGACTTAGACATTCGATTCTATAGTTCTATAATAAAGAAAATTAAGAACCAACAAAAAAAAATTTTCTTCGTTAAATTGTTTTCTTTTTTTTTACATTTTAAACTCTTTAACTTGCTGATTCGAAAGTTTTAAATTGACTAAGAAGCAACCTAGGCCTTCTTCAACATTTCAAGAAAATCGAAAAAAAAAATGAATATGAAAAGAAAACATTTTTATTAAAATTTTACAATAACATAAATAAGAATGTAGGATTTCATGGTAATCATTAACAAAAATTGGCACTAAACAAAAATATATTTACGTATTTTAGTAGTATTTTAATTTTAATATGAAAAAACGAGAAAGAACAGAATCGAATTTAGAAAGTATAATGCTCTAGCAGAACTTCTAGCTTTAAAATAATATTTTTCTAATATACATATGTACATATGTATTTTTTTGTTATAATTTAATTAAAATAACAATTTGAATACAAGCATTTAAGTTTACAACAGTTTAAAGCACTCAATAAGAAATTTGAGTAATATTCAAAAAACTCTAGGTCTAGAAGTTTGAAATTTGTAGTTAATAAATTTTTTTTTTCCTAACTGAAAAAAAAATAATAATTATTTAAGAAAAGTTTCTTAGTAACCCTTTGAAGATAATGGGAGATCCAAAAATTTGAATTGAAAACTGAAAAACGTAAATTTATTTTATTTAGGAATCGGTCAAAATTTCGATAAGTGGTGCACATTTTATGTATAAATTTAATAAACTATTTCTGCTAAATAACGTTAGTATGTATGTTTAATAAAGGTTATGCTTTAAAATTATGTTTCTTTTATAGTTTGTTATAGAAGTATGGGAAACTTCAAAGTGAAAATCAAGTGAGAATATTAAAATTTAATATCAGAAAAGCTAAAGTAAAACTAATTCTTGTAAGCATAGTTTTACATACGGCCCTTTAAAAAAAGAAACCTAAAATTAAAAATCTTGAAAAATGTCTACAAAAATTAAGAAAATATGTATGTATATGGAAAAAGAATATATGAAAATCCTCAAACGTCGATTCAAATGTAAATGGAGACTGGCAATAACATACACATACAATTATTGTTACACAATCAACTCTGAAATCCTGCATATCGTTCAAAGAGATTTCAAAAAATTAATAATGCTTTAAATAAAATTTAAACAAAAAATTTTAAATTTGAGTTTACTATTGTCATTTTGAAATTAAGATTTACTTAAAATAAGATTCACATAAAAATTATTTAAAACAAGTAACTTTTTTTGTTAATTTTAAAATTTTCTAATAAAGTAAATTTGGGAATTATATTTGAGATTTGCAATAAAAAATCTTAAAAGACATCCCTGATTTTATTAAGAAACCAAAATGAAATAAGTACAAATACCTACATACAAACATGTGTTCATTATGAAGACAATATACTAAAAATTTGATTTTTCTTTTTAAATGTTCCGATAAAAAAGTATGAAAAAATAAAAGCGTGTCAACAAAAATAGACATAAAATGAGAATAATTTAGAATAAAAACTCAAAACTTTCAGTTTCTTTTTAAATATTTATTTTTATTTATTTTTATATATGTATGTATGTATATTTTTGGGGGTCAATGATTTGTTTTATAATTTTACTAGGACATAGATCAGGTCTTTTCATTATTAATCGTCATCATTAAAATATGACAATAATTGTGTTCATATATGTCATTTAAGTTATTATATAAGTAAATAGGTATATGTAGATGACATGAACACTGTGAAGATATAGAATAAAAATACTATTTTTAAATTGTTTGTGCTAAAACTAAAAAATACAATTTTTGCATTACATTTATTTTTTAGCCCCGAAATTTGTAAGTAATATAGACATACATAGATAAATTATAATACAATAGATCACTGTCATATTTTGCAAATTCGTCATCAAAACATAAAAATAAAATATGAACACAATTATTTATTCTGTATTATTATTAATTTGAGTAAAAAATTGTGGAAGATCCCCCGACTATATCAACAAATCCGTATGTATACTGTTCAAAAAGAAAATTATATTGTATTTGATAAAAGATAAAGTTAAGATAAAGTTTGACAAACCTATTAGACTATTTTATAGTTTGATAAAACCTATCAGACTATTTTACATTCAAACTGGATTATTTATTTGATAGAGCTCAAACTTAATGACAAAACTTAATAATACAAAACAAAAAATACAACCAAAATAAAAGTTCCAACTAATCGCTGTTCAAAACTAATACAAAAAATTTATTTACACCATTTTACTTTAAAAAAATCTGATAGTAAATCCGATCAGAATGGATTAATTTCCATTATTTGCCTTCAGACAAAGTTTTATGTAAAAGAGTGTTTACATATACGACTTTCATTAGATTCAGATTAAAATTTAGATTATCTTAAATGTGCAAGTAGTATCTTCTCCCTCTCTAAAGATATAAATTTGTAGTTATTTAAAAACAAAAGGCACATAAATTTTATGATTCTAAAGAGATGAAGAAGGAATTTTTAAGCATATTATTTTTTCTGAACATGTGTGCATATATTAAGAATTTAAAACAGTTTTAATTAGGCTTGTTGAAGAGCCTAAACCCAAAACTTTTCTAATTCTATCCAAGAAATTTTACCGCTCAGTACGGGATCTAAGAAATTGTAATTTTAGATTTGTTCACCGATGATGCAGTGGGATTCAACGTGCGTTAATATTAAAATATAGCAGTCTCCTTTCCAATTAACTGACGTTGCGTTTTACCCTTCCAACTGACAAAGTGCGAAAACACTTGAAATTGGAAGAAAAATCTTTTTCTATTAAAAGTATTTTAAAAATAAATTATTTAAATAATTTATACCAGGTTTTTTATATTGAATTTATCCGTTTAAATTGCTAACGATTAGGTATGTAAATTAAGTTGCGTAATAATTACTTAAAATTCTTTTATATTTTATTTTATAAAATTAAAAAATTATATGAATGTGTCCACTATTTTGTATTTAAAATAAAATTTACAATATTGTTGCGTAAACGAAATTCTTTAAGGTTCTTTAAATATACTTTATACGCGTAAGTATGCGTATGTGTACAAAAATAACTTCTGGGTCCGAACATACGGATTATAAATTAACAAGTCACAAATTTTAGAAGGAGAACAATATATTACATACAACAATATTTCGTAAATACAATTTTGTGCAACAATAAGCAACCATAACGTATAAATTATTTACAAAAAAAAAATATACAAAATATACAGACTTATGTATGTATGTTTGTTTGTATAACATTTTAAATTAATCAATATACAGTTTATTTGCTCACCTATTGCGTCAGAATATTGTTCTTCCTTTAATTGTTGATCCCATGTTGCTAATGTTAAATTATTACAAAAACCATTTCGTTTATTTTCATTTTGATTTCTACTACGTCTAGTTGATTTTGTTCTCTCTAATGTTTTCTCAAAGTCACTGACCACTTCATCTAATGCATCATGTAAAAATGCTGATGTCTCTGGTGGACTATTTGTTGTTAAAGATGATGTCAATGAATGATGTGGTGACTCATTACTACTATGTGTTGTGCTATCGAACCATAAATTGTCATCATATAACGATTTATTATAATATCTTGGAGATTCTGGTTCACTTTCAAATTGTGCCTACATAGAAAAATTTTTTTTTTTTTAGAAAATCAAAAAAAAGTGAGAAGAATTAATTTTAAATAAAAGAAAATTTTGTTTTGTTTTGGTTTTTTTTTATTTTTTGTAGAAAACCAGAAATAAATTTTGTTTCTATTTTCGAAAAAAAAAAACAATTGCTATAACGAAAATAAAAGAAAAAAAGTGAAAAAAATAAAAATTGCTAACGCTAGATCAATTGCCTTTATGATATGCACCGCTTCTAAAAGTTTATGGAGATGTAGTATGCATAAAATTTATAAAATGAAAAGAAGTGTTCCATATTGCATATTACTCCGTAATTGACAAGCACATTTCTTTACAAAAAGTTACTTTTACAAAAATAATCCTCAATGTGAAAGGTTTACATGACATTTTAACTGACGGCAGTAAACTTTTAAAAATTCTGTATTTCACATTAAGGCACGATGAGTGATAAAAGTTGAGTGAGTAAATAAAGAATTTTTTCATATTGTGTGTACATATTCATAATACTCGTATGTGCATACATATCTCGTTCTTTCCAAAAGTGTCAAAAAAATTTATCAAGTGATTTTGTTTTGGTCAAATGGTGATAAATTTAATCAATATTTTTAATTTTTTACTGTGATTTTGAGAAAATAAAAAAACGAGAAAAATTTATAAAATGAGCTTTTAAATGAGAATTAAGAAAATAAAAAGCAAAAGGTTCTAACCTTACAAAGAAAAGTTGAAAAGAAAAGTTCTCATTCACTTTTAATACAAAATATATGTTACATTGTTAAAGCACAAACAAAATAAATATTTAATAATTTTGCTTTAATTTGTGAATAAGTTTGTAGTCTGCTTGATGTTTAAGTACTGTACAAATTGCCCTATAAATCAAATTGAAAATTTTAAAATCTAATTGAAAACTAGGCAGCTGCAAGTTAAGATTTTTAAGAAGTGGCTGCAATTTTTCTAAATTTTAATTTTATACTACTGCGTACCAGTTTTTTCTGCAATAAATATCAAATTTGAAGTTTTTTAACAATGACATTCTTGCTTCTGGAGCTATTTCGAAAAAACACTCAAAATTTAATCAAATTGTTTTGGCATATAGTTTATGAAGAAGATGTTATTTTAGAGTAGGGACGAACGTATAATAAAAGTTTCAAACTCAATGTTACATTGGTTTTTAAGAAAACTAAATTTTTGATTATAAATTAATCTAAATCCTACTTAAATTTTAAGAAAAAAGGATGCATGCATGTATTTTTGAAATTAAAATTCTTATTTAAATAGCGTATACCCTCTCGCTAAAAAAAATATAACACGTATTCGGGTATAACAAACAGATGGACAAAAAAATTAATATGTATAAAATATGTACTTAAAATGAAAAAAGCTCTAAAGATTTTCGCCTTTGTTATTGATCTAATGTGTGAATTCAAAGAACGAGGAAAATGTTTGTTTTTTTTTTTTCACACGGAAAAAAATTTTCTGCAGCATTTGAGTTTCTTGCCTTCTGTTAATGCATTATATACATGATCTAGGTATGTAAATTTGAAAAAAAAATACAATATCATAAAAATAGAAAAAATTAACAATAATTGTTAGTCATTTTGTTTGAAACGATTATTTAGTAAGAAAAATTTTGATAAAAAAGAAAAAATTTAAAAATTATAACATTAAATAACCTTATAGGCTTAAAATAAAATGTTATGTATACTTAATTGCTTATTCAAAGTTTAAAAGGTTACAAAGAACCAATTAATTTTATAGAAATGTATAATTCAAATGAATAAATAAAATTAAGCATAATTTTAAAATTAATTTGTGTTACAACGACTTAGGGCAATAAATATGTAAATATATACTTGTATTTATGCAAAATAATTATGCGTTTGGTATACTTTAAAATTATTCTTGTGATACAATCAATTGACATTTGTAACATTAATTATTATTGTGTACTATACAAATTTGTAGTTGCAATATTTTCATTCTATTATATACATACAATAAATCGTCGGTTGAAAAGCAGAAGGCATTAAGTCAGGAAACTGTGTTTTAAGTAAAGTCAATTTGAAAAAATCGTAAAATTGTAAAACTAATCAATTAGTGCAATGGAATTGGTCTCTTTAATTTCTGGATTTAAAAACTACATTCTGGATTTGCATGATTTTTTGCCACAACAAAGATTATATTATTCTGATTTAATTCATCTATGAAATCCGAATTCTCAAAAAATGCACTTAGTGCTTTCTGCTTTTTAACCGACGAAATATAGTATTCTATATATCTACGATAAAACTGTATCAACTCCAAAAATTTTATTTCTCAATATTATTTTAATGACTACAAATATTTAATTGAATCAGTTATATATAATAATTTATGTATTCATAAAAAGTGCTAAATTAGGTATAAAATTCCCTCATATTATCATGAAATTTAATATCATTCATAACTTCAATTGAGAACATTTTTGATAATTACTCTAAATGTTTTGAGTTGATACTCTTTTATTAAAACAACCAACTTCGATTTCTTCCCTAAATTAGAAACATTCAATATTATAATACCAATTTTATAATCACAGCCAACAGGAGTATTGAATCTTAAAATTCTGTAAATTTTCAACGCTAATATGCTAGATATACGAGTATAGAGAAATGAGTACTATTTAGCATTTTAGTCTAATACAGCAGATTACAGTACCGCAGGTAATTTCATTTAAATATTTTGAATATAAAGCTTATAATTTCATATTAATTCCTAATTTTAAATTGATTTTCATTTAAGTCCGAATTTTTTAAGATTTTCTTTAATTCTTTAATTCTTAAATCATATGTGTTTATTTTTGTGGCCATTAAGGAATTTTCATAAAAAAATTTATGATATATAAAATAAATTTTACATTTAACAGAAACCAGAGTATAAAATCATCAGGATATCCTAAAAAAAAATATACGAATTTCAATATTCAATACAAACACCATAATCTTGCTATGAATTTAGCTTTACAAATTAAATACACAATTTTGTTATACAAATAAATTAAATTTAAATTTTTAATTTTATCTTTCACATGCCTAAAAGCGTGCAAGGAAAATAAAAAATATTTAAAAACTTAAAATATAACATTTTTGAAAATCTTTAAAATCTCAATTCGACACATAAGGTTGTGACTTTATTTTTAATTCTTCTTTTTTGGTAAAAGGTGATTATACTTTCACATATAAAAATGTCATAAATTTTATTAATAATATGTGCATAAAAAATCTTATCTTCAAGATGCTTAATTTTAAAATAGAAAATAAAAATAAAAAGAAAATATTAAAAAGATTAAAGCAGCATGTTATTATGTGAGTGCATATTCTTTCTGACTAGAAATTTGTAAAAGGTGAAAAATAATCACTTGAAGATTGAAATTTTAAACGAAACGTTGGATTTTTCTACAATTTTATATTTCTTACAAAATTATGTTCAATAATGGAACTCAAATAGGAACGTTTGCGAATTGGAACAAAAATCATCAATGAAAAATTCATCAAATAAAATTTTTCAATCTGAGGAGACGAAGACTATCCTTTATTCATTAAAAAAATAAAAATCTAAATATAATAAAAAACATGAAAAGATTTTCCGTAAAACATGAAAAGATGAGCACTTGTAATAACACCATAATATTAAGTTGTATAATAAATGTATAATAATGAAATAATATACCTATATACCATAAAATGATAGACAACTATGGCCCTCACCGGTACTACATCAATCTAATTAATGCTGGATAGATAATTTTTTTTGTATTTTTTTTTGTTGTTGTTTACTTTTTTGAAAATGTAAAATTTTTAGCTAGTTTATTAATATTTTGAAAAATTACAATCGTCATAGTCGCGCTGTTTGTTTACATACTAACTTGAATATAAAAATTTTTGAGACTTCTTCATTAAAGAGCTGAAATAAACTAAATTGTTTACATACATTTATAGTGGCAGACATACACGATTCAGTTTCTGCAAAGACATTAATTTGTTGGTCCACATAAACTCTTTTTCTTAATATCTAGAGTATATGACTAATTTTATACAATAAAATTACTTCAACAAAACGTTACTTATTTCTGTACTCCATATTCGAAGGCAAAATATTTAAAAATTTGAATACCTTTAATAAATTATTCCACCCATATTTGCTTCAAAAGTTCTATTAACAGCTAGTAAGTGTTATTTTTTGCTTTCAAAAAATATTGTAGATTATGCAAAATTTCAAATGAATTTTAAGAAAATGTGCTCATTTAAAAATTTGAAACCAAATAAATTTGAATTTATTTCTATATTTAATTCGGTGTAACAACTAAAAAGATCTAAAAATAAATTTAATTTCTGTCACGGTTGATAAAAAGAAATTAAAATGCATCATAAGAGGAGCTAAGTGAATTTAAAAGAATTACTGTTTTCTCATGAGTACGTATGTATGTATATTAGTGTAATTATACACATTCCTATATATTGTATAATAAAATATTTTTAATACTTTACCTCAGGAACAGGTTGAACTGCGCTACTATGAGTTTCTCTTATACTATAAAGATTATCCAATCCTAACATAAATTCTCTCGATAATCGTGAACGTCTTTTATCACGTCGTAAAAGTTCACCATCAGATGCTGGCTCTGAATTTGCTGCTTTTGATTCAATATATTGTATAAAATCCAAATTTATGTGATATCCATATGGACAACAGTTGCAATTTTGTAATGGCAGGCTATTATATTGAAAACCTAAAAAAAATTTAATATTAATTATGTATGTATATATGTAAAAATTTTAAATGATATTTTTTGGAAGTTATTGTTTATGGTTTTTTTATTTTTAATTTTAGGAAAAATTCCGAAAAATATGGCAGATTTAAATGCAAATTTTAATTGAATTTATAAATCAAAAATTTAAGTATAATTTCATTTAAATGATCGGCACAACTAGACATCTTTATAGTAGTTCTCCCAATGGGTTCTTCTATATATGAACAACATTTTCGCAAATTCTAAACTGAAATATGTATGTATGTATGTATTCACAATTTTTTTTTTGAATAGTCTTAAAATTACAATAGGAAAAAGCAATTTCAATTTGAAGTAAACTAAAAGTTTTAAATTGAAAAAATTTTAATTTTCATTTTAAATTAAATTTGACAAATTACATAAATTCAAAATCCTTTGTTTGTATTTTTTTTTTTTGGATTTAAAATTTTCCTTTACTCGTTTTTGATTATTTTGGTAATAATTTTCCTGTAAAGTGTTTTCTGAACTGCATAAGCATACCACATTTAAATAGCGTTTAAAGCATGTTTAAAGTAAAGTATAGTCATTCTGTGCTCTTGTAATAAAAACTTAAAGAAAACTAATAACTACACCATTATAAAAAATTTGCATGTATACATTTAATAATTCACAAATTTATGAGCTGCAACTTAGAAATCTCAGTGATACAATCAAATTATTTTAAGTTTGCAAAAAAAGATTTCTTAAAAAAAAATGAACTTTCATTAATATTTTTTATACAGAACATTTTACACCTAGCGATAAGATTAAATGGCATATTTATACACACTTGAGTTTATTAAATTTTAAAAATGCCAATGTAAAGCATAACTTCTATTAGAGGCATAGCGTAACGCAACATTATTTTTTGTCACAATATGTGCACTATACTCGTATTTAAGAGAAAACAAACAGTTTAAAGATTGGCGATATTTTTTGTGCAACAGTTCATATCATTTTTACTATTTTTAAGATTTTACCAACAAATCTAGCACAGAGTAATAGTGTAGTATTAAAAAATAAAAACTAAAAATAATAATGAAAATATCTAAAGTTTTTTGTACCCATATCTGGTAGGTGGACTTTTTATACATACGAGTATATATTTTTTCAATAAAAACTGGATTATTTCCAATGATTCCGAAAATATCTACATAATGCTACATATCGAAAGTCAACAAGAAGAATTGCAATAATATTTATGTAATTTTTTTTTTCTTTTCAGCTTAGGAAGCATAACCACCGACACACATATGTACGAGTATGTATGATTTTTCTTATTTTTCTGCTATTTTTAATTTTTAATTTTTTAATAGTAAATGAAAGTTAATGACAAAATACTTGTTGGCATTTTTATAGTCAAATCTTTGAATGGAAATACAATAAAAAACAAATATAAAATAAAAAAATAAAATAAAAAAAAAGAGCAAAAATCCCACGCATTTTTAAGTCAATTTAAATTATTAATAGTTAACCAGTTGATCAACGTGCAGATCAGCCATATGTGCATTCAAAAACATTTTGGAATATTTTTCCAATTAAACGGGTTGATATATTTTGGTTTCTTATATTTTTTGTTATTTTTAATTGGTCTTAGTAGGTTATAACTTTGTACATACCTACATATTTCTTCTTTGATTATATTTATTATAATTTTGGTTATATAAATGAAAACAGCATATCTCAGTATGTCTGTATGTATATAAATATTATTATAAATAGAGAGAATTTTAGGTATTAGCTCCACAAAATTAAATGATATTTGACGTTTACATTTGTATTAAATGGAAAATAAATTGCTTATTTTGTTTTCAAAACCGATTCAAAATACAACAATAACAAAATAAAATTTTGAAATTGAAAATGTTATTAGTGTATTATTCAATTTAACGGGTTGCAATACTATGCATTGTCACAGCACGAATATAATCAATATACGTTTTAAACGATCCGTAAATAGAATACGGAACATTATGACACTATATATTTCAATATTCTTGCTTTAAAATTGTGTAAATGAAAAAAAATTTTCGTAAAATTGTGTATAAATTTTCGTTTTATCACTATTCTATTTCCAAATCAGGAATTAAGAGAAAATACTTGAAGATATAATATATTTCAATATTGGTTAAACTTACAAATGTGAATGTAATTTGTTTAAAAAACAAACCAATAAATGTATTAGAATGAATTTTACTAAGCTATAACATACATATGTGCAAATGTTTGTAAAAATTATCGATTTAAATATAAAATCTAGAAAAACCATAGATATTCTATTGCTTTTTAAAGTACAAACCATTTATAATTTTTGCAATGCCACAGGATATGTCAAGTTATTCGGAAAATTGTGAACTGTCAAATTATGTGTGTTTCAATTACATATTCAATTACTTGTTGTTCGTTAATGCAAAAAATGTGCATACATTATCAAAAATTTAAAATCTATTCAGATTGTGACACAACGACAATGTACTGCATTTAATTATGCATTTGCAACAAACTTCGGAAAATGTACTCGTTCACAATTAACTTGTTTGTGATTTGGAATTTATTTTTAATGTGCTTCTGTTATTTCCGAATGCCACAATTTAATAAAAGAGATATTGGTTATGTATAGAATAAACTAAATTTTCAGTTTATTATGAAGAATTCAAAGCTAAAATAAAATTAATAAGTTTCACATTGCATTTAACTAGTTCTTGTTTTTAGTCTCAGTATTAGTTCAAATTTATAAAATTCTTAAAATTCTTATTATATGAAAAGCTCAATTTCTGTGTTTAAAATTACTTACATCCATCTTCTGTAATTAATTCTGGGCTCCGCATTATGCTAAATCTGAAAACAAAAAAAAAAATACTTAGTAAATAATAATTTCGAAATTTAAAAATAAATTAAAAAAAAAAAAGAAATTCTTTAAAATATTTTAAATATTCAGAAGTAGAAATTGCAAAGAAAAAATATTTTCAATTTATTCGTTTTAATATTCAATTTTGTTAATTTTATGGAGCCTGTCGTAAATTCGTTTCTATATGTTGTCATAATATTTAGAAATTGATTTATGATTACTGAAGTGCATTTAACCAATTAACACATTTTTTGTTTATTTTTGTTGTTGCTTCTTTTTTTTGTTTTTTGAAATTAATTTTCATAAAATACTTTTATAACTTTCCACTTGACTTTCACAAATTGTAAATTGTGATAAATTATTTTCTTTCTTTTTATATAATAGTTTATTCTCTAGAAATGCATCAAAATCGAATTTAATATTAAAAAATTCAAGGAAATGTGTTTAAAAATTGAACGTCAGATATATCAAGAAAGGAACATTTTAAGTATGTAAGTGGATAAGTGGTATTCTTTCTACAAAAATATTATTTTCAAATCGCGTACCAGCCATTTTTATAAATTGTTAAGCAACTTGACACAAAATAAAAATGTGATAGAGCTTGATAGATCTTGAAAAGTAATCAGATTAATAATTTATAATAAAAGCCGCACATCTCTATGTTGACTCATTTGAAAGTTATTGGAAGATTTATTTTTAAATTACTGTAGAATTAATTTTCTAAAAACTTCATTATTTATTCTGAAAATATAAAAAAGAGTGGATACCAATTTCATGTTACTATCTAAGTCAAAAGTGGAGAAGAAGAAAAAATGCAAATCAATGCAGCCTTCGAACCCAATGTTTTATAAAAAAGCACATTTCACTTTAATGATTTAAGTTTAGACAAACCCTTGGAAAATACTAATTAAAACGTGTTTGGTTTAGAGCATTTGTAATGATTTTACGTTTTGTTAATAAAAACGATCTACATACATATTAAAGTAGTTGTAATCATATAATTTTGCATAAATTTAGGAGTAAGTTTTGGGAAATAATTTTCATGAAAAATTTACACAAATTTGTAATACTAACCAATTGAGATATGGCAAGCTTGGAGAGTATTTTGATGTAAGAGAACAATTACAGTACATTTTTACTTTAATAAAAATTAACATAAGCAAGCTTTGAATATCTGTAAACTATTAAAATTTTAGATTACTTCAAGCTGCCGTGTAATAGAAAATTGCTTCCACAAGTTGAAATTAGAACAAAAGCGATTTTTCGCGGCGAAATATTAGAATTTATATAGAATACACATATTTAAATGGGACTCCAGAATTAAGCGAAATTAGCGCCTTGGAAACCATTTCGTGAAACCTCCGACAATTTTACCGCTGGCGTTTTTTTTTTTTGACATTATCTGTTTCCACATGTGTGTGACATCATAAGCAAAATACTGCGCAGACGACATTATACTATATGGGACGAAAAATAGAAATCGTCCGTCGTAACCGTTCACTGCTCTTTTTGTATTTTTATAATAAAATAGCGAAATTTTTATAGTAAGGGTTAATTCAAACAATTGAAATTTGCTTGCAGAAGAAGTAACTTCTCAGTTTTCTGCATTTACACAACCTACAAACTGCATTAGTTCGGATACACTAATGTAAAACATGAATTTTTCGAATTTGTAAAGCTGTATCTTCAATGGAAAGGCGAAAACTTTTTTTCGATAACTTTTAAATCATCATAACCAAATGACACCAAAAATATCGGTTAAGAGTTACACTGTCACAAATTTCGAACCTAGTCGAACTTTTTATATAAATTTTTAGTGCTATTTTTAGAAATAACTTTGAGTATAAATTCGTTATCAACTATACTCATTTCAAATTTATAAATTAAAAATACAAAAAATTTTATACAAAAATTTTAAATTTAAATTTCAATAACTTTCTAATATCTGTAAAATTATAAATTTTATGGAATTTCAATCTAATCGCACTATGACTAATTAATTGTCAATACATTTTAATGGAAATATATTAAGCATTTTTTATGTGAAAACTTAAGATTCATAAATAAAAGTTTCAAGTTCAAAAATTTTTTATCAAGTTTAAAAAAAAAAAATTCCAATAAAAAAAAAATGAAAAGAGCAAACAATGTTACAATATAAATTTCATGATAAAAGTAAATTTAAATTAATAAAGTAGCCTAGAGGTTATCATAATTTCATGCTGTGCTCAAATATTTTGAAATAAAAAATTTAAAATTTTGAAAATGAAAGATTTTCATTCATAAGCACAATAGTAAAATAGAAATGAGTAGAGCATATTTGAATTAGTAGAACAAATTTTTTTTGTTTTGTTGTTGGAATATAATGATGATCTGGTGATAATAAAAATAATTTCCAGCATTTGTAAAATGAACTGGTTTTTTTGAAAGTGGTATAAGTTCACTTTTTAAAAAGGCTAAGTTAATGGTAATTTTAGTGAGTTATAGACACCTTCTCTTCACTATTTACAATCAAAATTTCGACAGAGTTCTATGTAGACTTAAAACAAACAAATTATGGCAAGAATTTTTAAATTGATTCAAACGCAAGCCCATAAATATCTGAATATATAAAGTAATGGACTTATACCACTTTCAAAAAAACCAGTTCAAATTTTGATTTACCTTTCACATCTGTGGTACTCCTAAAGTAAGTTACATTGCAATATAATTGATCCAAATGAACAAAAAACAAAAAGAGTAATAAAGAGGATTTCATGACCTTTAAAATGGCCTTTTTTTACCATAAGTTGGCTTAAACTGTCATATTTTTTTTAAGTTAATTTTTGAGTTTTGAAAAATGTGAAAAGTTAGCTCTTTGTACTTGGTATTCAAGTCAAATTTTGAACCCATAATATCTAGAAAAAGACGACATGATAAAGGAAATAATTATTATTTTTTGTTTATCTTACAAATTAATTTACATACTTTATTTTAGGTATGCTATCGAGTCATGCACACCTTGTACATAATGTAATCATCAAAAGATGGGTATATGCAATATTTATTACCAAATAATCGAAAAATAAAATGTATTTCAAATTTATTTTGTTTAATTAATTAATCTGGGGCGCTTTAATTACCATTTCAAAAGAAAAAATACCATATTTTATAGGGTATGAATTTATGATTAGTTTTGTTTTTTTCTCTTTTTAAATAATTATCATAATTTATTCTGAATAACCATTTTTTTTTAATAATAATTTATTTTTAATTTTATTAAAAATATAACCAGTTTTTTATTTTCTTACTTTTTTAAGTTTTTAGAATTAAAATGTTGTAATAAAAGTTGGAAGTAAAATTTTTGGATCTATTGACTTAATAAATGTAGAGCATTCATTGGTCATTTTTAAATTTTCTACAAAATAAAAACTAATTCATTTTTAAATTCCTAGCTTATAAATATCATGATAATAACAAATACATTAATTATTCATTTCAGAGTTCGGAGGTAAAAAAATTAAGAAAATTTTAGATTTGTTTTTTTTTCTGATAAAATTAATTTCTTTAATTTATGAAAATCCAAATAAAAAATGTATTAATCTTATATATACGTATTTTTTTTTTCTAATTATACTTTATTAAATATTTTCTTTCCACTTTTTATCAACCATATTTTCTAACTAGTTCAGCATCGCAACGATAAAAAGCTTTAACTCTTTTTATTACATACAATTTTTGTTACTACAAAATTTTAAAGGTAAATAAGTGCTAATATTAGTTATAGAGAAAAAAACCTTGTTGAAAAAAAAAATATACAAATATAATTTAAAATAGACCTACGCTTATCAGTATATATGGTGCTTTATTGTTATCAGGTTCTCAAATATGTGAAATTTGCAATTTTGATATTATAACATTATTCACCTTTACTCTCCAACTTTTGTTTTTTGGTTAATTCCATAATTTTCTCTATATTTATAAAAATATACATACGTATACATATGTTTTACACATGTATGTTTTAGGAAATATAAGTGTGTTAAATTAAATAAGCGTTTGTGAAAAGTGAATTTTTCCTTTAAAATATTGAAATTTTTACGTTTAAAATACTTAAAATTTTTAGATTTAAAATACTTGAAAAGAAATTATTCGAAAATCAAAATTGAAAGCTGTTATACTTGGAAGAGTAAAATTTACAACACTACCATTTAAGAATTAAAATATGTAAAATTTAAGATTAAATGATAATCAAGCCGACATACTGACAAAATTTAAGCTAATTTCTTAAAGGTGTGGGTATTTCATATCTATTTTTTGCGAATTTTTGTAAATGAACGTTAGATGGACGGATAATCGTATGCTTTCATTTTAATTTAATATATTTAAATAATAAAATCTCAAAATTTGTATTAATTTTTAAATATCTTTTCTATTATAAAGTTAAATATTAATTTTATTAAAATCAAACTTAATGATTTTGCTATATCAAGCAAAATATTGATTAAAAAATTGATAAATATTTCTGACTCAACATGTGATTGAATTAAGTTTAAAAATTACTGGGGTCATTAAATGAAAATACTTGTTTAACTTAATAACTCATAATTCATAAATATTTATATAAATTTGATTAAAGTATGTTATTAAAGTATAAAATTTCTTGCACCATTTGATACAACTAAACTACTAAAGAAAATGTAAATTGATAAAAAATACGAGTAGCATTAAAAATTTAGGAGCTCTAGTTTTCGCATTATAATTTTGTGATCCTTTATTGACATAGCTATAATGGCTATTATAATCTACACAAACATGAAATAAGTACTTAACCTATTCTTTTAGTTAGTTAGGTTTTGTATATATATCATTTATAGCATTTACATACAGATATTTAATTAGAAACAGTATAACAAATACGTTTAGGTACTGAGACCTCAATACTCAAAAAACTTTAAAGCTCAAAGGCTCATTGTGAGAGTTTGGTCAATCTCAATTGATTTTTAATTTATAA